GATGTAGATTTGACATCTTTTTAGAAAACCCTGAATGTTTAACAAATCTATCTGTTTGTGACGGGATCTTTTAGATGTGTTTTAGCACATGTGCTTTATGTTTGTTCTATTTACCAAGATAAAATTATTTTCCTCTCTTATGTGGGGTCCTTTTTTATCTAATGAAATTTTTTTATATTAGTGAACATCACAGGATCAACTGGTCCTATAGCTTGGAAAGGAGTATCCGGGTGATGTGGAATGTGGATGTGCTAGCAGCTTTCCTGATAAACTATGTAACATTAAATTATGGTGAAGCGTTGTGCCTGGGGGAAAAGGAACTACATGGATATGTATCTGGTGATTGTATCGAGTGTATGGCAACTTCAGATTGTTTAGGTTGGTTTAACTCCCAAGAAGAGGGATGTTAAACTTCATGTGATATGCTCACATACAAACTGGTAAGCTCTTGGTGTACATGCTTGATATTCGATTCTTGCTTAATTCTTTAGTTGTAGATTGTATTGTTCTTGGTACAATCCTTGAATAATTTGTTACCAATGTTTAAAATTATTCTGATGTTTCTTTGTATTCTTCTGAGCACTTCCTTTAGATAATGGTTACTCTCAACACGTCAGTAGCATTTTTTGTCCATGAATGTCAGTAGTACTTAATTGTTCTAGCATTTTATGTTGGTTAGTAAGTGAGTGAAAAACTGATGTTGATACAATTTTCTTCGTTTGCTCTTTGCTCATTTGTGTTTTCCTCATTTTATTTTTACTTTGAAGGTATTGATAAAACTCGGTTTTGACAGGAGTTGTACACTTAAGCAAGTATGGGATGTGATTAGTCATATCAGTATTGTATATCTAACTAAATTCATCTTATTTTCAGGGCTGACCTGATATACTTAAGGGCTTCAACGTAAAGGGTACTAATGGACGCACAAAAATTTACCATCCTCCATTTCAAGAGTTTGAGGTTGATCCTTGCAATCTTTCTTAAGGAACATCGACAAAGGTTACATTAATGGCTCCATCCTTATTTTTGGTCACTGAAGGGGACTAGAAGAATCAAAACAACCTTTTATTGAATACTTTGAGATATTGACTAATTTGTATCTTGAAAAGGTAACACTAGTTTGAAAAAAGTAAATGCCACCGGTTCAAAACCCCATTATGCCACTGGTTTTGAACCGCTGGGCATTTGAGGGGTGGCAATTCTCCATCAAAAAGCCACCGGTTAAAAACCGGTGGCAAAAATCAATATTTCCACCGGTTAACTAGTGGCAAAAACCAATATTGCCACCGGTTAACCAGTGGCAAAACACATTGCCACTTTTTTTTGTGTTAAATATAAATGTATTATATGTTTATATAATTAATACAGTAACTCTATTATATATATATAAATATAAATATATATATATATATATATATATATAGTTTCAAACTTGTGTAATCCATTGTATTATTGTTGAAATAAAATTAGTTGCTAAAATATGAAATACCAAAATAATATTAAAATTATTCATGCATTAACAAATTACGTGAAATTATTATAAAATAACAAATTATGTCTAAATGCGTAAATATTATATCTTACATACATTGACTCGTTGCTTTGAACTTAGATTCGCCCATGGTTACTTAGAAATGGGTTACACTTTAAATAGGCAATGAGACACTTAATTATCTAAAATCAGTTTATTTTAAACAAAAAGTAATTCACAATTTTCTTAAATTAATAAATTTTAATAATTCTTTTAATTTTTACTTCTCACTGCAATGGTTCCATACAATAGATGGGAAGGATGGTAACAATAAGACAATTGATGGGCAGGATGACAACAATAAACCAATTGTTATTTTCAATGCGGTATAATTATTTCGTTAATGTTTCCAATTTATTTATTTTTGTTTAATGTTATGCGACTTATAAATATCATGGCATGTGAAATTGTGATTATTATTATACAACAATATAACAAAATGGTTCCACATATTCTTATCTATTTTAATGTTTTCCAAATTTTTTAATTTCAGGTAACACATATTGACGATTTAACAAATATATGATGTATAGGGTCTGGTCCACTAGCGATGCTAACCACATATATATTGGCTTACAGTTTTCTCTCAAACCATTTATTGTGATTGATGTCGATGATGCTATTTTAGAAAGGTGTCAATTAATGGTTGTTAGGTTAATGGTTGGAGTTTTTCTACCAGTAAATATGCCTTTTCAAGAGCCAGAATTCAATCAAATGTTCGTTGATATATATACGTGTCATAACCCAAAAGTTACTTTTCAATTTCAAATAAACAACGTCAATGTAATTATGTATGCCCATGTTGTGATTATTTGTCCAGATTTAGAGTTGTTGAAGCCTAGCCAAATAATTGGAGCCTAATAATGTTGACCTATCTCATTAGGAGAAAGTTGTAAGTCTAATTTGTCTACATGATAACCATGTCGACTACAGAAAGCTGATCATTGACTTTTCTCCATTCCCTTCCATGGATACCAACAAGTTATCTAACTTGCTTCGTGAACCTAAGGATATTCTAATATCAAACCCTCAATTTTTTTTTCTTTAGGAACAACAATTCAGTAACTAATTCATCATGTCCTAGTTGTTTTGGCTATGAAATCTGGCATATGATTCAATTTTTTTATTTTGTTCGAGAGTTTTATCTTCAAATAGGGCAAGGAATATTATTGAGTTCAAACTTTAAAGTGGCACAATTTAGTAAATTGGCTTCAAGTTGTTGTGTTGGTGTTATGGGAGAATTCTTTTCAATTTGGTAGCGACCGTTAGTCGGGAACTTGAGGTTAACATTGAGGATGTGATGGGAGTTGTCATGGCTACGATTGATAATGCGATTTTAGAGCCCACTATTGTCATTGGAGGTCCCAACATGATTAAAGATTTGCACATTCTACAATTTATCACTCACTACCAGGGGCGAATCTAGCATCTTTTATAAGTGGATTCATGATTCAAATAAAAATAAATTTAATTATATGAATCATTTAAAAACATTTAAATGCATTTTTCTAATGACTTACAAAACAAATATAATCAATGAAAAACAATTTTGTTATGAAAATAATTATGAGCACAATTTTGTTTTATTAATAATTAATTCGGTGTTTATATAATTAAAATAAAGTTAGTTGTTGAAATATAAAATACTAGTATTAAAATAATTTATGCATTAACAAATTACGTGAAATTATTATAAAATAACAAATTATGTATAACTACATAAATATTATATCTTACATAGTTATTTCATTTAATTTTTAGTTAAATACAAGTTGGGTCAATTGACTATGTTGCTTTGAATTTAGATCTGTCCATGCTCACCACTATACCTTAAGTGATCAGACATGATATTGCTGCTAATGAAGAAAAATTGGTTCGACAACTTCGTGATATGCAAATTTCCATGAGCTCATTTATTCGGAGACAATATCAGTTTTTGGGTTTGTATTTAAGGAGGGAACATCTAATACTAGTTATTCTCCCTCTATTTTTATCTGTCGACAGTTGTTTCAATCTAGTTGTCGTTTGAGAATTTAAGATTCTTTGGTACCTTATGGAGAAATTAGAAAAGTTTTTCCTAGTGCTAATAGGTTGGATTTAATTGGGAAAAATCTCAACCAGATGCATCTTTTATGGGAGGGCAGTGTTGCCTTATGTTTTTTCACCCGAGGTGAGGAGTTTCAACTAATAGATTGGAATTTTTCTCGTCAATCAATGGTTGAGGATATACAAGTGTATATCTTTGATTTTGCATGCAATGGTTTCAATAATGCGATTATTATGATGGCTAATCTCATAGTCAGATTTGGTGTTTTTCCTAATCGTAATTATTATTTTTGTGTGTTTGAATTATAAAAGAAAATTCTAGGAGGTTTATTTGCTCTAACATATGCTACACATTGTTTTCTAGAATGATTTCCTCCTTTCCCTATCTAAGATGTATGTTTTTTATTTTTTTATTTTTTTTATTGTGTGTGTTGGAATTATTATAGAAAATTGTAGGTAGTGTTATCGATTCTAACATATGCTAAACATTGTCTTCCTAAGTTGATGATATCTAACTAATTAGTGTATAAAAGATATTTGGTTGCAGTGGGAAAGAGGATGACTTCTTAGACCGGCTAGAGTAGAGATGACTCGTAAACCACTTTGTAGCACCCTAGAAATTTCTTTCCTTTAAAATACATGTTTTGCTCTCTTTAAAACTCAAAATAGGAAAATCTAAGATATTACCGCCACCACGAAAACGGCTAAGGCAATTATCAAAGACACACAGCGGAAGACTATTTAAAACCATTCAAAATAAGTCAACTTAAAAGTCAACCAAACGAAATTAAAGTCAAACGAAAACAACCTATAAATTGGAACCATTGCCCTCACTAAAACCAAAAAAGACTTGAAAACCTTTGTGTTAGTCTCACAAGCATAATAATGATATAATCAATAAAGCAATAAATTATATCATAATCTTATGGAAATTAAGCATGATTCGCTCTTTACTCATGCCCACCATGAATATGCTTCATCACCTGAAAAGCTCATCTCTATTTGTCCCAACAACTCGCCATTAGAAATGGGTCGTTGTAGGGCCAAAGTATAGACAAGGCCAAAAAAACACACAATTAGCAATGCTGAGTACATAAGCGTAAATAAAACACACTAACATGCTTTCACTCTATCATCACACAACTTATCGTGTTGCACCTGTTTACAAGCACACAACATACCACATGACCATCCAATAAATAACTAATTTATTTATTTAACTTGATTACGCATCAAACGGATTTTAATAGGCTAAAGTCGTATCACCTAATCAAAAGTATACTTAAGTCCTCTAACTAATGTAGATAGGGAAGTAGGGTTGAATCCACAGGGAAACAAGTCTTTCTAAACCTATTTAATTAATATAATCTAAACTATTAAGTAACCAAAATATTGTTATTAAAAGGAAATTATACTACGGAGATTAAAAATAGGGAGAAATCAATAATAGAAAGCCTAGGGTCAAAGGTTCACCAATGATAATATACCAGGATAAAACATAACAATCAATAATTAACATTGCACATATAACATGATTAACAGGCTCTCGTAATTTATAAGATCTAAGTTCCTATTGAAAGTAGCTTTTAATATCAAATTAACATCTGCTCGATTCATCAATACAATATTGCTATACTTTACAATCAAATCACATCTGCTCGTGACGGCGGCATCCCAACGATCTTTACCCAAAGCAAAGACCCCAAAACCCTAACCCTAACTTCACCAATTCCGTCACAAACACTCGTGACGGTGGCGTTACTATCCAACGCAAGGAACCCGGAACCCTAACCCTAACTTCACCGTTTCCGTCACGATCAAAACCACCATGACCACTGACGGCGGCATTAGGCCTAGCCCTTTGCCCTTGTTTCGCCGACGGAAATCTTTCTTTGACACAAAGTTGTGGATCAAAAGCACTCTCCCCTCGTCTTCTTAACTGGGATAAAAACCTACAAACACACCTTTAAAAAACAAATCTAAGAAGAGATTGAATTCTTAGAAATGGAAGGCTAGGGAAAAAAGAAAAATTTGTTTGTGAGAGAAGGAGGATGAATTTGTGAGAAAACAGAGGGGAAAAAAAGGAATAGGAACTCGCCGGAGTTTGGCTGCGGCGCTAGAACTCCGACGAGTTCCTAAGGGTTTGCTGGTTGTTGGGACAAGAGAGAGAAGAGAGCAAAAGTGTTTAGAGGGAGAACCTCTTTTATAACCCTAAAAATCAATTCTTTTATAATTAAAACTCTAACTTTTAATACTTTATAAAATCTGAAAATAAAACACTTTATACTCTAAAATTTACAACCTTTAATCATCAAAACATAATTATACAATATAGTAATATAATTTTATCAATCAAAACCCAAGTAAAATAAGAATAATAATTAAAATAAGAGGAGAGAGGGTAGTACCACCATGGATGGTGGTCGGGTTGGTCACGGGTAGTCCGGCGGGAGGTGGTTGTCCGGCGACGTGGTTGGTAACGTAGCAGCAGCAGGCGTGAGGTGGCAGCGGTGTTGGACCTCATGTCTAATTCCCACGCACAACATCAAGGAAACACAAAAGAAAGAATAAGAAAAATAAAGAAAAAAGAGGAAAGAAAAAAAAAAGAAGTACTTACATTGTGTAATCTGATTTCTTTGAGCCTCTTTTGTGTGGGGGAATTTTGGGGTTATGAGGGTTATTTATAGAGTAAAGAATATAGGGTAGGTTTGGAATTGGTAAATAAATGGGCTTGAGTTATGGAATATTTGACCCACAAGGGTTCAAATAAAGGGTTGGGCTTATTAAAATGAAATGGGTTATTCCAATAGTAGTATGTAGAACTAGTTTACATACGATATTTTAAATAAGCCCAAATAATTAATAAACGTTGACCCAAAATATATTTTACTTTTATAAAACCTTGTAATTAAAGTACTTGAGCTCTTAAAAGTATATTTTATAAATACTTAAATACTTTATAAAAACACATAAAAATACAAAGTATTACAAATATGTATTGTTGAAATGTGGTGTTAGTAGGAACGTAGGATGGACATCAATGTTTTGCATCCAGATTTATATTATTATACATTCTCAGCAACTATTTTAGTATTTATGGTACGTTTTAGAGTTCTTTCAAAAGAATGTGTTGGCCATTGTTATCGGAGTCTTGGAAACCGTGTGTTTCTTTGCTATGATTTTGTTGGGTTGGAGTGTGATTGAATATAGCGTCAAGTACTCAAGAGATCATTATGTTGCGGGAAGGTTATTTTTTCTAAACTCTTATTAAGCGTCTGTCAACAAATAGCATATAGGGATATCTCTCACAAGGGTGACATGCATATTTAATATTGCCAATGAATAATGATGGATTGCATCAATGCCTTAATGTTAAGCTCTCATAATTTGATATGTTAGATAAAGTAGACAATTTGGAACATTAAGCCTTAGTGTTAGCTCCAATTATTTGAAATGGATTTTTAGTCGGACATCTGTTCTTTGTTTTACTCACTATTGTTTCTGCCCTTCTTAGGGGATGGAATTTCCTAAGTTAGACTCAGAGATGATGGTAGGATTATTTTTTCTTTTTCCATTTTTTTGATGGTGAAAGCTTTGGAGAAGAAGAAGTATTGAATGCTATAGAAGAAGTAGGTGAGCTAATAGTAGAGACAATATCTTTTTGAGTAAAAACTAAAGAAGGGGAGGAGTGTATATAAGGAACGTCTTGAATGCAAGTATCTTATGTGCATTAATACTCTGAGTAGATGTGGTTGGCATTAAATGAGGCTTGGTATTGCTGTGAGTTTTTTTTTCTCCCGAAATACCCCCAGAAAAACTCGATTTTGAGTTCTAATTTTGAACTTTGTAGTTTTGGCTCTTACCCTTCCAAAGAGGAGTTTATCTGTGGCATAATAAACTCAAATAGGAATACCTACCTTTTTTGCTATTTCAAAGAGAGCTTCATTATCAAAATATTCAACTAGGAGTTTAGGAAAATGAATCCAGATTGACATGATGTCAAAATTTGTGCTTGAAGCTCTGAAATTAGGCTTCCATTTGGTAATAACCAAATAGTGATCTAGGATAAACCATGGACCACCATATAAAGCACGTTCGTAGTCATCTAAGGAAGAAAAACGAAAAAGATAAACATTGTTACCCACATCAATGGTTTCTAGTGTACCTTTGATTTTCCACATTATCTTAGCTTGAGTAGCCATGAAAGAAGAGAGAATGTTCAAACCTAGACACTTTCCCATTAAAGTGAGTTTCCATGGCTTTCGTAATCTTGTCAGTGTTTCAAAAGAGAAGCACACACTGTTCTCGGCAAATCATTAGAAACATCATCTCATTCTAGGCTAGTGATTGCAATGTTACGTGCTTCATTAAACCATTGAGACGAGATTGCCACAACTTCCCTAAAAGAAATAGTGGGGGTTGCAATTGGAATCACTTCATTCGTACTAGCTTCGATCATTTGTTCATCCTTATGATCTACAGGCTGAATTGGATTAGCCTCTTCCATCAGATGGAAGAGCTTAAATTAAAAGTGAAAACAATCTATAAACCACTCTAATTAAACTCCTAAGGTCCTCACACCCCGCAGCGTGATGAATATCCTCAGTTATTCAATTAAGCAATTTACAAATTGAGAGAGAAATTCTAGACTGGAGCAAAAGTTCTAATAGTTCCATGCCTTCTCTACCAGTATGAACAACTTTACTTCTTTAATGTACAAAGAGCCCTGTATTCTCAACTCCTCCATCAGGTGTCGCGCCTATTTGTTTCAACTTCTCTTTCAATACACCTTGAACTGTTTTAATATACTCTTATTGTTCAGAATTAATAGTTGCATATATTGTACAAGTATTAAATTAAATAATCCTCAAAATAGATTATGATAAACTTTTTTCTAATCCTAAGAAGTATGTCACAACAACTTTAAGTGATAAAGAATTAGAGTGACTCGTCTGTCACAATACAATCTTCTTGTAAAATCATGTCATATCCTTAATTAAGGTTAAAAAAAATTAGCTTGTAAATTTGATTCCTACTGCTACAGGTGATTGATCAATGCCCATTTGGTCCCTAGTACATGTTGAGAAATTAGTACAACTAAACCGAGTTTAGGTAAGGGTCAACAAGCTTTGATAAGGCTAATAAGTATAGATAATGAAAATCAAAGTAAAACGAATGAAGTACAAATCCGAAGTGTATATATACAGAACACTGTCATTCTCCTATTTTCCTGCTAGTAGTAAAAATTCTTCTTCTGTTTTCCAGATTCTAGTTCCTTGAGCATTTCAGCACTAGGAACAATTCATGGGAAATTTGACTGCGAGTATTTAGTCTCAATCAGACTAGGACGGGAACTGCGGAGTGGAGTGATTTACCATCCTGTAGATAAGCAATGCGCTTACTCCTCTCCAGCTGTTGATCTTAGCATGGAAATCATCCCTTACGATCCCAATAAGCAACCTCGCCAGCTATCAGGAAAGAGAAGGCGTAAGAGGAAGCGATGGAGTGGAGATCCCAGCCACCCAAAACCCAACAGAAGTGGCTACAATTTCTTCTTTTCAGAGAAGCATTCAGTCCTCAAATCCCTTTAATCCTAATAGTCGAGAGAGGGAGTTTACTTAAATGATAGGAGAATTATGGAACAATCTCAACTCTGAAGAGCGAAAGGTTAGTCAATTATTGAAGCATATGGCCTTATTATATGGCTCTTAAGTCTTAATATAGAAGATTGATTTACGAAATTTGCTTTGATATTTGTTCAAGTGCAGGTGCATCAGAATATAGAGGAAAGGGATAAGGAAAGATATAAAAGAGAACTTCAGGAATACAACGCGAAGTTAGCAGCACTGAAAGTCAATACAAACAAGTCATAGTTTACCGATTGACAGGAAGAACTGTTGTATTATTTGCAGAACACAATACTTCTTAGAGCTAAACTCAAAGTGTACCTAATCCTAATGGTTACATATGGACTATATAAACTGGCTGATGATGCAAATTACCTATCATGTCACTGCAAAAGCAGTAAGTAGACTGAAGAAGTTTGCCTCCTATGTCAACTAGTTTAGTTGAATAGAATTTTGGGGTGATGTCCAATACCCAGAAGTAAATCATATTTCAATTACTGCCTTGGTTGCTATGAACCCAAAATCTGTGGGATAGGATAGAAGCAAGTCAAGCAATCCGAAACACTATGGAGCCAACTTGAAAGATAATGTTGATCTTCATGCTAGGTAATGCAGACCAATTACATCAATATTTTATTCATCATATGTTCAAGCAGATGTATTTGACATTTAGCTGTTTAGTAGAGCTTTTTACATTGCGAGCTGTTATAGCAAGGCAAAAGGACACAAGCCACACATGATAGCTTTTGTCCACACGATGGCCATCTTGAGAATGATGAACAAAAAAATGAGACAAAAGATGTCTTCCAATTTTCCATATATCAAAGGTGCCGTTCCATTGCATTTTGCCTGATTAAACCAAGAGGCTGATAAGACTAAATCGGAGCTTACAGATACTGTGATGCTAGTACCATAAACATGAGAAAGCTACTGCAGTTAGCCTGCTAGGCTACAAAAAATGGAGGGGGCTAGACGCAGGCCTTGCCAGAAATCAAGGCTATGATAATTAAGCCATGAGGTGGACGGGGTTCTCGTGAGCTACTAGTTTAAAGAAAATTTTTAAACATTTATAAATGCACTTTTTTAGTACTTCGGTAATTTCAGTCGGACTTCATTTACTAGCGAGTTTTCCTATCAAAGATAAGCATAAATTTGAAGCCAGTTCATGCTCTTAGGAATTTTATGCGCAAGGCACTATGAAGTTCCTAACGACTTGATATGAACAAGTATTCCTTTTAAAAATTATACCCAAAGGCCAAGAAACCAAAGAGTTCATTTAGTTTATCGTTCAAAGGTCAGACAATATCAAAACTTTTACTTCTCTAACTAAAATTAAGGAATCCACCTCCATAAAATTTACCACAATCATTCAGCTGCTTGCTGAAAATGGAGCAGTTCAGATTCAAACTTCCTCAGAGGCATCAATATGCGATCCATCTGCACTTGTTGCAACAGGCAACTTTTCCGTTGCTAACCTTTCTTCCAGTGCTCGAGCACCTCTTTCCCTGATATATTAAAACAAATGGAGGTTAAGCACAAAGATGACTATGACAGTTCATCCAGTGGAAAAGGAAAAAACATACAACATAAACGCAAGCCAAAACAAAACAGTAAGGAAAAAACAAAAAACAGGTATACTGCACTGCTGCACAGAAATGCTTCAGAAAGGAAAAAAGTGCTGATTTTGGATTCAGGGAGATCAAAATCGGACAACACAGATACCTTCTAGTTATAGTGTGAGCTTAGAAACATCTCAAAGTGCCTGACTCAGCAAAGTGCTGATAAAAAAGTTGTAGAATCATATATCCATGTATGGCATAATTTAAGGTTTTCTATTCGACATATCAACCCCAAGGACTAAAATGCAGCCGCTTATAAAGCAGCTCATACAGTCACACTCACAGGTAGAATCATCATTGATTTGAGAAGTACAGAATTAATCACATGAATTTCAATTTGGATCTTTGATCAGACTAAAGGTTGAGCTATTCTTCTTTCAAATTTAGCCAAGTAACCATCAACTTCAATCCGGCTTCATCTTCTTTTAACCCTCTTCTTCAGTTATTGACTATGATGCTCCAACTCTTCATTTCACCTCAAGTACCCATGTCAGACCCTCGACACTCAGTCATGAGTACGACAATTCGACCACTTTATTTTAGTTCAAAATCATAGATAGTTTTCACAAAAAAAGCCAAGTCGGACACTTGAACACGTACCCGTGTCGAACATGGGTACTTGAGTCCAAGTACTATAGGTCATTAATTTTGGAAGTCTAGAATTATATCTCCCACAATTACTTAATCCTGTTTTAATGTCATAATATCATTTTTAAATGTAAAGAATGTAAAGACACACAAGTAACAATGCTTCTCCCTTTGTCTCTCAAAGTTTCTCACATCTTCTTTAATATGGACATCCAAAATTATACTTTGTATCTCTTTTGGTTTTTGGGTTTAAAAAAACAATTTCACTACCTACTACTTACCTCCGTTTTTTTTAGTTGACACGTATTAATTTTTAGGAAGTTTATTTTTAGTTGACACGTTTCCTTTTGAGGTAATTTTTATACCTTCCACTTACTAGTGTACCCCACTTGCTTTATCATTTTCTCTCATTCTCTCTCCTCTCCTTAATATGCGTGCCTAAATTAAACGTGTCAACTAAATAGAAACGGAGGAAGTATATTATTGTGATTTGTGAGCACACAAAAATAAGGGATTTCAGATTGTGAACATTCTACTATTTTAAAATGATCAATCCCTCATAGGTACAATTTAATGTTACACGAAAGGACATGACTGCAATAGGTGCTGGGGGAGTGGAATGAATGGCTTGAGGTATGAAGAGAGAGAGAGAGAGGAAGGAAAACAAATTGTGACATATAGATTTTATGTGCCAGAAGGCTGCACATCTGGGAACGAAAGCAAATGAGGCTGAAAGAAATTTAGAATAGAGAAAATAGAAGAATAGAAATAGGTGGATCAGAGTGACTTATTAGGCATATTTTGATAACCGTTAAAAAGATGCAATCAGGTATCACTGTGCATGATTTGGTACATTAAGCCTTGCAAATAAATGTGGCATGGTGATGAAAGTAGACTCTTCATGGGCGGAGAAGACAAATATATATATATAGGGAGAGGCTCATGTGAGAACACCTCTCTGGTGCTTACGTATCTATAGTACAAACTAAAACTGGAGGATACATATGGTACCAATCTATCTCCCTAGCAACATTAACTTTACATATAATGCTACGGCAATAGAAATCATAAATAAGACACAAGTCTTAGCACAGTTTAAATCATTAAGGGGGCATTTGGTTCACATAGTGGTATGGGGTTTAACTGGTATCAGGTCGGAACTCGATACTTAATACCATGTGTATGGTTCAATTCTGGAATGGAATCTCTCACGATTCCCTCCTTTTATTTGATACCTAAGGGAATGGAATGGGCCAAACCCACCTCCCCCCAAGGTTTCTAAACCCCATATACCTCATGGGTTTGATGTATGGGTTTAAAATTCATACTTTTGACAACCAAACATATGGTATGGGTTTTAGTCAATCCAAACCCATACCTCATACCTATATTCCGAGAACCAAACACCCCCTAAGAGGCTTTAACTATCATGAAAATCACAGAAGTCAAAACACAATGACAGAGCATCTGCATTGGATGCAGGAAATAGCAAGGACAATTGCTTGTGAAAGAAAAAAGAACACATATTACCTTCGTCTTGATGCCTCAAAGGTATCAGAACCAGGAAGTGGAAAACCTCCCATTTCATAAGCCTTGCCATCATTAGAAATATCAGATCTTCCGCAGAACATCCGATGAAAAATAGATGATATAGGATTGATAACTGGTCTGCAGGTTAACAGCAACAAAAGAGGATCAAATGAAGATATAATTAAAGTGCAACTCACTTTTCGATACCTAAATAGGTGAACATGATGTTACCTTATAAATTCTGGGAAGAAAGTGGCAAATGCAAACTCATCACTTGGGTCACCCCTGAAATTAGTCTCTGATCTTCTCTGCAAGTATCTCAGGTAGATCCAGCTCATATATGTACCAAAGATGGGAAGGTAAGCTGCCGAATCTGCCAAGAAAAAGCTTGCAATGATCGACAGGAGAATCATGATAGACGGTAGCCACTGCATTATAATAACACAAAAGCCGTGATATAATCAGAATTTTATGTTTCAGTATATATTTTGCATAATTAGGTGTTTTTAAATTTTGTAAATCTTTTTAAGGATAGTGTTGTTGGGAGGTAAAAAAATACCTTAGCCTTGATGCTAATTACAGAAAGCTCCTGATCTGGGACAATTTGCTTGATACCAACCAAAAATCCTGCAAGCACTCCATGGAAGCCAGAGATTGGCATATAGCTGCAGAAGATGAAAAGGTTAATGTATCAGTAAATGAAATGGAAAGAGCTTAATGCAGTGTAGGGATAAACAAGAAACTGATTTTGTACATCCAGATAAGGTTTAGGACAAGTAATGTAACTGAAGTTGGCTAAAGTCAAAATCAAGCACTTCCTTAAACCAAAATGACAATAATGGACAGGCATCTATACAGATACACTCTGATCATAGATCCCTATTTTCAGGACTTTCAAGACCCAACATTAATTGCTTACAAAAGGTATAATACTCATACTTAACTGTGCAGGAGAATATTCTAGTCAAACCTAATTAGTACAAGAAATTATTAAAACCATAAGATCTTTTAAGAACCATAAATTTTAAAAATAAAAATAAAATTTAGATTGAAAAATCCAGTGATAACAAACTGTTAATTCTATCAGTAACACCACAACCAAAAATATACCGGCTGCTGGCAAAGTGCAAAGTCCTGGAACTGGGTAGCATAATTTTGTTTGTATGAACTCTAAATGAATGGAAGAGCAATACTGGGTACAAAAATCATACAAGATACAAACATGTGCGCCAAAAGATATCTGATGTAGCTCAAGGGTCGCAAGAGTGGATAATGAGGACAAGACAGAGATGACAAAGTGGAGAGATAGCTGAAAGAAGAGAACTCAGGCAGAAAAGTGAGTTAGAGAGTAAAGGAGGAGAATTGATCAACAAAAAAAATACTACGTCCAGGGCAGAGCTAAAAATAGCATGTTAGGCATCAATGACACAAGAAACTAAAGATGCTAGGGAGCACCATCACACAGGAAAGCCTTGCTGCTTTGATTGCCTCATGTTGACTATCAAAGTCAGAGTTTTAAGTTACATTATGTCTTTAAAATAGCTAATGCGGCTTTCTATTTTAGTTTCAGTTACATAAATTCAAGGCATTCAAGTGGTGCTTAGAAAGATGCCAATTTCTGACATGGATAATTCCAATAAAAGATTCTAATCTTCATCAACAGAAGTACAAACATAGTGATGAGGTAGAGGGTATCCTCAGGGTAACTGGACCACACTATTGAAAATCAAACAATGGTTGAGAGAGTTTTTAATGAGACAAACAGAATGAACATGTAACACACAACTACCAAACTTAAAATGATAAATTGCTCCCATTTATCAAAAATACCCAATCTACTCCATATCAACAGTCCCTTTTGTCCAAACTCCAAAGATACACATAATCAAATTAACTCACAAACTCATGTACTACATAATCTTTTTACATGCTCAAAATAGGTTTTTTAATAACATGTAGCACTTAATTATTGCTCCTCCATTTTTTCCCCTTGATTTATGTGCAGTCAACTTGGGACAGTTGATAATGAGATAGAGGACACATTGGATTTTGTATACATATATTCTGCCAAAGGCCAAAACCTAATAAACACATAAAATATGCTATTACATGATAAGCACATAAACCAAGAACAAAGTAAAAAAAAAGTCACAGTAATCTGACAATTTCAAAGCACTTACAGATAAACTTCCAGCCTAGTTGCATAGTACAAAGCTATTGCCGTGATGAAGACACAAATGTAAGTAAGAACGTTGACAATAAATATGAACTTCACGAATTCCTTAGAACCCCAGATCGGCTCAAGCAGCTTGCCCATGAAAAGCAGAGCAAATACACTAATCGCCACCTGGAGATATTAAAATTTAGAATTTAAATAAAAAAAAGAAATATTTGGATAAGCAGAGTCATCCAGGATAGATGGAAATAACTATTATAGCCAGGAAGAAATGAACAGTGCAATTACCCCATATATTGTCTGTTCAGTGTAACCAGCTGTTAGGAGGTTCCATGCAAAAGGAATTGTCCTACAAATCAAACAGACTGGGGTTATAAATCCATTAAAAACATAAAACTATAAAGTTCAAGCAGCTCAAGCACAAACAGCATATAAATCAAGAGAGCAGAAGCAATTCTCATGCAACCCCCTCAAGGTTCTAAGTAAATGTCAAAAAAAAACTTCCTCTTCAAAAAGCAACAATGCAAGATTTTATTTAAACAAGTCAAATGAAGACCTTTGTTATGAAATGTAGCAGACCGTCTCAATCTAGGTGGCAATAGTTTCAGGCCCAAACATTTTCCCTCATTCCAGGCTTAGTTAGAGACTTAGAGTCCCATAATTATTGCTCCATGATTAATCCGGCCCAATACCAACAAATCCAGGCAAGCCTAAGAGGGATTCTTCACCTTCCAAATGAAGCTTGCTACAAGAAAAGCTGGAAATTGGGGTCAATTCAAGCGACATAAATAAAAATACAAGAAAAAGAGTCATGAATCACCAATCCATACACTAGGATCCTCCACAACAACTAAGTGAAAATCCAAAGCCTTCACTGAAGAAGAGAACCCCTGAAACTCCCTATCATGTACTAGCCTTCAAAATTGTAAATCCAAAACATTATCGAAAGAAAAACCATCTGCTTTTCCCTTCAAGCATCTTCCCAAAATTGAATACCACAAACATACCCTATCTAGAACCTCATTAAACATGAGAAAAGAATAGAAAACTATCAAACAAACTTCAAATTAGAACCAAGTGTCACTATAAAGGCATTTTGAGCATCCCACCTTTGTCATGCAAGATTTTCTTGAGGACTCAATGCAAATTAGAATCACAAGGAAACATCACAACCATAATCCTACAACTGCCAAAACCTTTTGACACCAATTTCCTAAGGCCATCTGCTTTACCTTCACTTACCACACCACACCTAATCCCAACTCACAAGATTATCATCCCTTGTGTTGCTAGATGCCAGGACAAAATATATTCTTCTTCATCCTCTCAATCTTATTTTCAATAAAAGCCAAAATCTTGGACAAGACCAGCTAAAATTTATGATCAAAGCTATGCTTCCAGAAAGAGAAAAGTAGACCTTACTCCAATCAATTTCTAATGAATCCTTGAAATAGAGAGTTCATCAAAAGAGTTCAAATGTTGATTTCCTCCAAAAGGAGAACCCAAGTGGAGTAAATATGGATCTTGTAGTATTTTGCTAATTGTTAGATAATGGAGCTAGTCTCTGATTTCTATTAAATTCATATTATATGTCACAGATTAAATTCATATCGCTCACATTTCCTTGTTCCTTCCATTACTTCTAGAAATTAACAATTGAAAACCTAGCAATCTTTGAATGTAATCCTTGAGTTTTGGCGAGAATCTAATTCAGTTAAATCCAAAGCTTCATCCCACACATGCATCAAAGAGAAGAGTTAATAGAACACCTTATTGACTTAGACATCAAGGACCAAAAAAAGCTAAAAATTGCGTTTAGGTAGAGATTAATCCTTCACAATAACATCATGAAGAATAATTTGAGTGAGATTCTTGCATTAATGGACAATTATGATCTCAAGAAGCGTTAAATTAAAATATTTGAGAGTTCCAACCTTAGTTATAAAAACCGCGCCTTAGGCGTGCCTAGGGGCCTAGCACAGTGAGGCTCGAGAGTCGGTGCCTTAGCTCTTTGAGGCTCAAAAGGCACGCGCCTTTGCGCTTTTTTCTAGGCTGCTTCTTGTGCCTTTGCACCTTATTTTGCGCTTTATGCTTTAAAGCATCAAAACTATTGAGTAAGTTTATTTTTCCTAAAGTATACCAAGAGACTTTGTTATGAACAGGTTGTCTTCAATTCTAGTGGAGAGAGAAATCCCATATCCTATAATTCGATTTGAAGAACTCTTGTTATTAATCACAAGTCCCTTTCACCTTTTCTCATAATTTCATTTTTACACTATTTAATAGAAATTATTACTTCCTTTCTATATGAATAAAGTGCGCCTCACATGGCCCTTTCACCTTTTCTCATAATTTCATTTTTACACTATTTAATAGAAATTATTACTTCCTTTCTATATGAATAAAATACGCCTCACCTACAAAAGGTGCGCGCCTTCGCCTTGCGCCTAGGCTCTAAGGACTTTTTGCGCCTTGATGCGCCTTACGCCCTTTAAAACCAAGGTTCCAACAAAATTCAAGTTCTTGCCTACATTTATTATTTAGTGTTCACTACCCATAAAATAAATTTATGTACAAATCAAGCTTCTAACACTTCATTTGTACAGTTTTAATCCCAAGTGTCTACACACCATGTATCTTTCCAGTTATTTAGGCAGTATAAAACTATCAATTCTAACATGATACCAATAGTGCCTCCAGAATACTGAATAATATACACACCAATTTATGGCAACATAGCCCCTATATAGCTATTTTTCATCACATATGCCAACTACCACATAGTATATCTAACCAAAAAAAAAAAAAAAAAAATAACAAACCATATTTCCAATTTCAATAATATAGCAAACATAAACATTCACAAAGTTCTTGAAGTAACATGATCTATCCAATCAAAGACAGTGCAATGTACCTTGCAGGAATAAGAGCGAGATAAGTGACTGCCGGAGGGAAAAGCTGAACTAGAATGTGTCCACCAATAAGGACCACAGCAAGCCCTTTACACAGTTTCGTAAACCCGGTAAATAAGCCCCCGCCCTACCAACACCAACATCGACAACGAAGCAACAACACCATTAAAAAAAATAGCAACACCAGTAAATATATAACAAAAGGCGAATTTACAATTTAACACAATTTGAATGCAATCAATCTAGCAAATTGGACATTCAATAATCAAACGAAAATTACTTAGCTAGAAATATGAACATCTATAGATCTCAGTTAAACTTAAATTAATCAAAATTAAAGTGATGAGAAAGAGATCATACTCCAGAAAGTGCCGGAGAACTCATGTCCTAAGGACTTCGATTGACGACGAATATGAACCAATAATGACTCACTTATCAATGATCTTCGTTGTTTTTGTTGCTGATTTTCGAATTTCTTCGCCTTTGAATTCAAATCCTGAGAATTTTGAAATTGAAAAGAAAATTGTGCGTAAAAAAACTGGAATTATTGAATTAAAGTGTATACAAATTCAAGTGACATCTAAATTTATGAAATTAGGGATTGAACGAACCTGAAAATGTTGCTCCCCAGTGTCCGAAAGGTAGAAGAAATTGGATTGAGAAATTCAGGAGATTGATGGATGGCGAGTCTTTTTCTCGGAAGCCCGGAGTTGGGAAAGAGTGAAACTCAATTTAGGAATTTGGTCATGATTACAAATTTACAATTTGGGACTAGAAGTGTAAATTTTGACATTCGAGTCGAGTTCGATTAGTCCGATCGAGTTCATGCTAATATTAAAATTATTGTGTACATAATCAAATTTTAAATTTGGTTATTAGGAGTTGGTTTAATCCAATGGATCAACTTAATTTTTGACACCTCTTTTAAAATTTAAATAGGGAAAGTAACACTTATCATTTGGTTTATAGGGTAGTACAAGTTTACATTTAGGAATGACATGGAAATGGTATGATTTGGAAATTGATTATTGCATCTCTTGTTTGACTTTGTTGGAGAATGAATATTTTTTATTTATTTGACAAATAAATGCTCAAGAGTAAAGATGTCAGCGGGGCGGGTCAAGTAGGAAACCCGTTCCATCTCCGCCCCACTCCCCATTTGGCGGGTGGTGGGGCGAGGATAGAGATAAAAACCATACCCGTCATGGACTCATGGGTGATGGGACAAGGGTGGATTTTAGGTGTTCCATCCCTACCCCGCCCCACTTCGTACCCACCCCATGTCCACAATTTATATATTTAAAAAAATAAAATTATTTACTTCTATAATTTTATAAAATAAATTAAGTCAAATATTGTAGTAAAAGTATAATAATTTGTAATGTACTTATTTTATAGCAAACAAAAAATTTGTAATATTAATAATGATTTTTTTATCATTGTTATCAAAATTTTATGTAGTATTGGGAGGCGGGAATTAGGCAGGTCTTAGGTGGGGTAGATATCTAAGTAGGGGGTGAGACGGGGTGGTTTTGAAATTGTACTCGTTGGGGTGGGGATGGGGATGAATTTTAGACCCGCCGTGGGGATTGGGATGGGGAGATGGGAATGGGGATGAGAAGGTCAACAACTGCCCCGCCCCGCCCCATTGACGTAAACACTTTTACACTTAATAGTTATAATCACCTCCTCTTGTGGATTAAATCCATATAGTGTACATTTATATCTCATGCAAGGTATAAGGTATAAATTTTAAAATTAAATTTCGTTCAATTAAAAATTGGGTAACAGAACTACATAAATAAAGGGAAAATTACAACCTAATTAAAAATAAAAATAAAATAAAAATTTGAGCAAGAGACTAAGATTTTGATTATTACAGATGCATATACATATCATGCCTTATGTAAGTGAACAAAAATACTCTCTAAATTGATTTTGAAAATTCATGAAATTCATTTTTACCAAGTTTTTCATGGACGAGGAAAATTCTTCTCATCACTATGAATGCTCTAATATAAAACCTCAATATGAGCTATGTCAAAGCAATTTGCTCAAGTCATAAATCCTCACCCCTCCTATTAACAAAGATGTTGCTCTGTGTTATGAGTAGAAATGACAACCTTCCTTTAGCTCCTAAGAGTGCCAAACTAGAACTTCCTCTATTGAATGTTGGGATGAGTATTTGATAGTGTTCTTGAGAGAAGGAAGATGGAGGAGAACAAAGTGCTTGCCTGTTGGTATAGTTGATTATGGTTATGGTGGAGATTGTGTACGGCATTGTTTGCTGACAGTGGTGACAATTATGGTTATTAGTGAACTTAATACAATTCTTACCAATATAAAGCTATGGTTTGCTTCGGAACACAGCTATGACTCATGAGGTTATTTATCCATCATATACGAGAACTGAAAATAATTTTCTTTCCAATATATTTTGTTCTGTTCTTGAGCTCATGAAAGTCTAAAAATAGTTGGTTTGAGCAAGAGGTATTATCTTCCGTGAAGGATGAATAACAAAAGTGGAGGGAAATTATACATAAATCTGGAGTTATGTACTAGTAAGTGATACATCTGGGGAGATTTTTACTACATTCAATAATAGATGAGCCACTGCAATCTTTCTTCGTGTATGGGACATGTACAACAACCATCATGTACAATTTTACCTACAATATCGCCTTAACTCACATTGTATTGTATAAGGCATCATTGTACTGAGAGAGGCAGTCACACGTCACAAGATGGGAAAAAGCTCTTGCCTTGAAGAAATCCTTGGCAAAACCAGAAGAACCAAATCAGAAGAAAGCAAAGATCCCTCCAATCTGGAGCATCAGTACAAACCTGTTATTACCATTTATGTTGATGCAGCCTGAAAGGAGACAAGAAAGGGCAAAAAAGGACAATGGCAGGCTGCCATAGCTTGGGTAGCAGAAGTAGGGAATCTAGACACCTTCCAGGTAGCAGAACGAGTTTTTGCTAGCACTCCGAGCCAAGCAGAGGGGCTGGCTGTCCTTGCAGCTCTTAACGCAGTTTCACAATCCTACTCCAATATTGTCATCAAATCAGACTCACAAGAAGTTATTCAAGGCCTACTAAAGTCATCTACAGCCAAAGAAGAACTGAAACACATTGTCACAGATATAAGAACAGCAGCACGCAAAGTGGACCTAGTAATATGCATCAAGGTAGATAGAGCACAAGTCCATAAAGCCCATATTTTACCTGTCAAGTGTAAGAAGTATGGGTGATCATGCACTCATAATGTAGCCCTTATGAGCGTTTGTTTAAACCATGGAAAAAACGATGCTTTTTCCTCTTCGTATGCTTCTTATTTTGCCTTGCTGCAATGAAAGGTATAAATTGCACCTGCAAAACACAGGAGTGCAAACCAATAAATCCTTTTACCTTGGAACCAGATACATGTGCCAAGTTGATATGAATTTTGATGGATATAACCTTCAATCGCAGTTGAAAGGTTTGGAATCTTGAGTCTCGGTCAAGAAACGCTAAGCAACACGAGCTTAAAATCTAAACTAGGTCAAGAATACACAAGCACAAGCTTACGTAAAACTTTATAAATTTCAAATCAATCAATCATACTTTTCGTTAAACACCATCACGTATTTATAAGCTAAATAATTAGCCTAAAAATCGGTAAAACAAATTCTAATCTAACTAGGAAACTAACTCTAACTTGTAAAGATACTATTTTGCAAATATGATCTTTAAAGTTAAGCTTATCTTATACTAACCGAATTAAACTAACAAAAATATCCTAATAAATTCGGTCATCTAATAATAAACTAAAAATAACAATAAAAATAATTATAATAACAATATTGATGCCTTGGAACCGCATCATACTCCCCCTCTTGAAAAAAACTTGTCCCAAGTTTTAGCAAATCATGGAACCAAGATATCATCCAAATTAATCGAACATGAGCTAAAAGAATATGTCTCCATCCAACCACGTCATGCTTATATTTTACACCAATGAATGCACCACAAACTTCAATTGAATTCTCCAAAATTTTAATTGATGACACACCTTTGTCAATGCAATAAATATAATGGAAATAATACGTGAAAATATTTGTATCCCAATTATCACCATAAAAGGAAGTTGTAGAAATTTGACTTTTTGCTACCAACTTAGATAGTTCAAATGTAACCTCCTCGTCAACAAAACTAGACAAATATACACTTTTGTGCTCCATAATTTCTTTTTCTTCAACTAGTTGTTCATGAGATTGCTCTAAAATTGGATTTGTAAGATTATCACTCGGTAAAGATACAATCTTTTCCTCGTATATAGCCTCAACAATTGGTTGCTCTAGTTTCTCTTTCTCATAAGACATATCTTGTACACCACATCTCACGTCACGAATTTGAAAACGAGCATCAATTCTATCCAAACATTCATTCATTTTCTTGATTTCCATCATAAATGCTTCAAACCAACTTTTATTTTCCATGTTTATGTGGATGAGAAAACACGCAAAATCAGTCCAGAAATTGATCGAAAGTACGAGGACCAAAACCCAATGAAAACACCTCGAAAAATTCTGAAATTTTGTATACTGCTAGCTCTATCTGTCTAAAATACTCGACCAAAAATTCAGAAAAAAAATTCCCAGCCAAGTAATCGCAGTTTATTTTTTTCTCAACAATGGCAGATTAATTTGACTTTTGACCAGGTGTAAAGAACGAACCCAGTTTAATAGCTATGCTTCTCGAAAAATTCTCAAATTTTGCAGGTGAAAACTAGACAAAAAATTAATCAATTTGAAAAAAAGAATCACCTCAAAATCTTTAGAAACGAAGGAGAACCAAGTCGATCAATATGACATTCAAAACTGAGTTTTTTGACACAAATTGTCAAACTCGTCCCTCGTCAAACAGCAGTCACACCAATTTGATATGTATTTTGATGGATATAACCTTCAATCGCAGTTGAAAGGTTTGGAATCTTGAGTCTCGGTCAAGAAACGCTAAGCAACACGAGCTTAAAACCTAAACTAGGTCAAGAATACACAAGCACAAGCTTACGTAAAACTTTATAAATTTCAAATCAATCAATCATACTTTTCGTTAAACACCATCACGTATTTATAAGCTAAATAATTAGCCTAAAAATCAGTAAAACAAATTCTAATCTAACTAGGAAACTAACTCTAACTTGTAAAGATAATATTTTGCAAATATGATCTTTAAAGTTAAGCTTATCTTATACTAACCGAATTAAACTAACAAAAATATCCTAATAAATTCGGTCATCTAATAATAAACTAAAAATAACAATAAAAATAATTATAATAACAATATTGATGCCTTGGAACCGCATCACAAGTGATGCTTTTATTAGTTTCGAAAAGTCAAATTCAAAGCAAGCACTTTCCAAATTGAGGTAAAAAGGCGCAGTTATGTAGCATTCCATGAACTCAAATTTGAAGTACTGGAAAGTTGGGGAAACAAAGGGTACCTGAGAATTATTGCGTATACCAAAATCCTGAAGAGCCGCACTTTCATTGAGTAGCTTCTCATTATGATACAAAAGGCAATAATTCGCCCATACATGTTTCCTGTAATTTCAACATATGAAGTAATTTCAGTAAAAAGTAGCGTGAAAGATTTAAAAGTCAAGCATGGAAGTGGGTTAAGAGAAAAAAAAAACTTCTAATATTTTCTTGAACTCCCAAATTATCCAATTTTAAAAGTTCAATATAGAATTTTTTAACTGCAAGAATTTGTTTAAATGCTGAATACAAAGGCATTATAATGACTTTGAAGTACTAGCTCGTCACATTCTATACACTTAATTATCAAGCATCAAAATATGTGTGGCAAACAGCAACTAAAACATTAATATATAATGCCTGTTATCATAGTTGTATCAAGCTTAAACAAACCACCAAAGCCTAATTACTTTGGTGAGACCAGCTTAGAGTGAATAAAATACAAGAATGCTCTAAAGTCTAAACCTATTTTATGCTAATTATTAGTCGACACTTGACAGTAAGAAGTAAACCTTCCCCTGAAATCTAATGTATAACATCACCCAAGCTAAAAAACATGAGCATTTCATGCTAAAGTGCAACAATGAGAAAGACTGGTTCAAAAGAATTCAAGAGATAGCAAAGGTAGTTTCTGATACTAGTATTGAAAACAAAGTTTACAGTTTGATAATTTCACTAATCAATTACCCAGATTGGCAGCTAATTTGATTCAGGAAACTGAAACAAAATCCAAGTGACACTGCATTTAGAAGCGTCGAATACCACTCTATTAATCTCTAGTTCGCTACACACTCACTAAGAAGAAGAATCAGTCCATTTGACTCATGAGTCAATCTCACATTCTCACTATACAGGGAACTCTACATCACATAATCACTACTAAACCATTACATTATTGCCAACTTATACTAACTATCAAATTTGTCTGAAAAGTACAATTAGACTACTTATTGTAGAATTACAATTAAACGATTGTTGTGCATACAAATTTTACCAAGGCAACCTAAGAAATGTTCTCTTCTCCGTATTGTCAATTTCCAGCTTTAAATACACCATCATCAAGTACAACAATAAACCGTGATTCAAATCTACTTACCTGCCGCCTATCTCATGGGAGGCAGGTGCATAAGAATGGCACTGAGTATTTGAGCATCCCCCAAACTATAATTGACTTTACCTCATTGAAAGGCAACATCTGCAGTTGTGTTTTTATGAAAACATTCTCTAGAGCACCCAAACTACAATTTACCATTATTTGTCAACTTGGTAAATAATTTCAGAAGTGTAACTAAATCATTGTTAGAGCACATATTTTCCGATATCTCATATCTCTAACAATCATTCATCTGAGCTAATCCCTCTATTTCCGAACTCCAAATTGGTTTCACAATTAATCTTTTAGCTAGGAATGTAGGAAGTCTCATACTAACAATAAACTAAACAATCACGAAAAAAAAAAAGCAAGTTAAGAGAGTAGTACCAAGAAATATGACGATGACCCATCTTTGATTGTTCCATTTCATTAACTTTTTTCTTAATACAAAGCTTCAAATCCTTGACTGTCGCCGAGTTCATGACCACAACATCTACAAGAGCAAAAAAAATTGTCAAATAAGAGAATGCACACCAACTGTTTGTGAAAATGACTGAGAGAATAAAATGAGAAAACTACCAAAAGAGGTGGAGTCGAGCTTGAGGATAGTGATGCGCATGGCACTGCCGAGCTCTAAGCTGATAAGGGTGTCGACATCTGATAAAGATGGTTTCTTTGGGACATCGGCGAGAATGGGATCGTCGAGTAATGCGGCTAACGTCGAATTTAGCTTTGCCCTCTTCACATTCTCAATGCTATACCCTCCTCCACCGCCCCCGCCGTCGCCATCACCTTCACCGGCCGAAGTAGAAATTAGAGGGTCATTCTTCTCACTCAATTCCATGCTCCTCTTCTCTGCTCTCCTCTCTCACAACTCACATACACAGGCAAAACCAATTATAGACTCGTGTAGTCGTGTGATTCTTTGGACAAACAAAGGCTTTAAAATATATATATATATATATATATATAAAAGGAAAAATGAAAATTAAAAATCCAACCATTGCACTTTTTCTTCCTAAAAATTCAACCTTCATTTTATTCCACAAAAATCCAACCTTCATATCCCCTTCTCCATTTAACCTGATTAACAGGTTAATTTTTTTTTTTTTAATTTTCTCACTTTCCCTTCTCACTCCTCTTTCTCTCTCCACAAAAACGGAAACAACCAACCCACCCACCTGCTGCCCCCTTGAAACCACAAGACCCACCCACCTGCCGCCCCGAAACCCCAATTGCCACCCTCTTGCCGCTCTGATATCCAACCCCAAGTGATTTCCTCTTTCCTCTACGTACAACCGCATCCAAATTCGTGATACTGCGACGTTTTTCGGCGACGATTTTTGGGTGGTACGGTCTGTTTCAAAGCCCAAAGGTTGTTTTAATTTGTGGGCAGGTATTTTCGTGGCTGGGCGGTTTTAATTGGTGGCTGGACAGTTTGTGGGGGTTTGGGTTTGGATCGGAGTTGTTGGCTGGGTTTATTTCTTGGTGGCTGGCGTATTTGTGGGTTGGAGGGTTGGAGCAGGTGCGGTTTTGAGGGTGGAAATAGAGTTGGCGGTGGTGCGAGCTAGGTTGTGGACGGAAAGGGAGGGTAAGGGGAGGATGGTCGGAAAGGGAGGTGGTGAGGAATGGTGGCCGAATTTAATGGAGGATGGAGAAAATTGAAAAAATAATCATGGAGGTTGGTCAGATGGGGGGGGGGGGGGGAAGAGGTGGCTGCCGGAAATTTTTGGGGCTGCCAGATAATTTAGAGGAAGAGGGCGGGTATTCCGGTGGCCGGTGGGGATAGGGTGGGCTGGGTTTCTAAATTTTTTTTTAATTAATTTTTTTTAATAATTAAAATTATAATCGACCTATTAATAGCTGACACGTGGCATCTAACTTAAAAAACCGGTCATCAACAGGTAATGGACCTTTAGATGAAGGGGGTATAAAGGTTGGATTTTTGTGGAATAAAATGAAAGTTGGATTTTTAGGAGGAAAAAGTGCAAAGGTTGGATTTTTAATTTCCATTTTTCCTATATAAAATAGATTAAACCCCGTGCAATGCACGTTTGTTAAATAATTCTAATGACAATAAATTTTACCTAAAATAATGGATATAAATATTATAAATAGATTTAGTAGTAAAAAGTATGAAATATTGTTTTAGAAATTAATTAAACATATAATAGTTATAATGGGCAATTTGTTTTGTTAGGACATTTATTTTAGATTTTATACAAACTAAAAGTCATAATTTAATTACAATAATTTTTTTTTAGTAAGTGTTTTTGGAGGGAAAACTTTTTATAATATTTTGCCAAGTGTTCTCTAAGTTTCGCCTTTACTATAATGTAATGATATATATATATATATATATATATATATATATATATATATATATATATATATATATATATATATATACGGGGAGGTTCCGCTAAAAACAGAGCTTATGGTGAAAACTAAAAACAAGCAATCTTAGCCATTCATTACTAGCACAAAAGATCAGACGGTTCTAAAGCCCTAAGATCATTCCAACCTTACATATAATCAATTCAACCGTTTTAAAGGTTTTTTTTTTTTTTTTTTTTTTTTTACAAACGCAGCGTTTTAAAGGTCACTACATGCTAAAATAAAGTAACTTTATCTAAATTGACGATATTTACATAGAGTCACTATATATAAAAATAACGTAACTATATACAAAAATAGGGTAGCTATTTCAATTTTTACAATATTTACATTAAGGTCACTATATACAAAAATAGGGTAACTATTTCAATTTTGACCATATTTACATAGAGGTCACTATATACAAAAATAGGGTAACTATAAGAATTTTTACAACATTTACATTAAGGTCACTATATACAAAAATAAAGTAACTATATCGTCTGAGTTTTTGACACCATTTACATAAAGGTCACTATATACAAAAATAAAGGTCACTATATATTATAAAAATAAGGTGACTGAAACAAAATTTACAACATTTCCATAATTCTAAGGTCATTATATCGAAAATAAGGTAACTATATATTAACTTCGGGTAATTATATCAATTTGACACCATTTACCTAGAGGTCGATAAATATAAAAATAAGTATTAAAAAAGTCTATGTAGGATTCGAACCTACATCCCGTGATTACACGGTGCTCGACCAATTGAGCTAATAGGCTTTCAACATGCCAAAACAGCCAATAAAAGCATACCAACATCACATACCAACATCATACAGACCAACATCATACAGACTGAAGCAAAACAAGCTTGACAAGATCAACGTTTCAAGAACAGAAGCAGAGGCAAATAAAAGCATACCAGGATATCATGATACGAGCAAGCCACCTGTATATGAGGAATCCCAACTAAATGTAGATATTGAACAGGCAGGCACCAAAAATCATACAATCAGAGATAAATCTTCACAAAGGCTGAAGAAGGTTACTATACTAACTCCAGCTGACAAGGTAAGATTAGGCATGATAGAGCTCGCAATAACGCAAACTAGCATACTCGAATTTTAGAAATAAATTTCTAAGGACACACTTCTACCATTTAACAGATATAAGCCTATGAGGCTATGATTCACAAAACAATACATATCTAGCTCCGTATCAGAGTGCACTTAGATTCTGGTACCATTACTTCAAAAGAAAGTCTATAGTAGGATAACAATACAATTGACCACTTGGTATTAACATTCAACTCTCTTACTCTTTGAGTGGAATAATAACAATAACTCAAATGTCTAGACTGTCATGGATGATCTGCACTACTGTTCGAATAAAATCTTAAATGAAAATGTACAAATCTACTGCAGAATTAAACAAAATATCGTTCACAATCACAATCACAAGCAGAACTTATTTAATCACATTCTTTCTTATACACAACATATAACAACCCATTAATAGGCAAAATCACTTATCTACACATCACAACACACAGGAGTGAAATCAACACGCTCACAATCACAAGCAGAACTTTCACCCAATCACACACCTATACACAAACGAGCAGCTTACAGTCCATTCACAAACGAGCAGCTTACTGTCCAATTATAGGTTGTATATATAAAGAATTTCTACGGCAACACAAAAGCAAGGAAATCACATTTCTGACAATCAGACTAAATACATCAATAAAATGCAGCAACATTAGAAAAATATCATCAAAATAATCAAATAAAACACAAAGTTCAGAAAATTTGATGATGAAATTGAAAATCGAACACAAAGTGATAAACTAAGCCGAAAAAATCGAGCACAAACTGATAAACTTAAAATGAAAAAATCGAACACAATTGAGAAAAAATAAAACCGAAAAAATCGAAATCAAATTCAAAAAATTAAGCCGAAAAATCAAACACAAATTGAAAATAGAGAAATTGATCAATATACAATGAAATGATCGATTAACGTAGAAAAATTTGATGACGAATTTGATGTGCTCAGAATGCCAAACGAAGAAATTAAGCTGAATTATAACATAATTAAACATATATGAAACTCGATTAAGAATGAACTACCTCAAATAAAGTTAAATTACTCCTACGAAACTTACAAAATTTGCCAAAAATTACAAAATTAATAAAAAACAGAAGCAAAGTACTCAAAAAAATTGCACAAATCGGAAACGAAAAACTCAAGAAATTACTCAAAAAACAACGATATGAAGAAATTATGAAAAACGCAAAATAATAACTCAAAAAACAATTAAAAAATCAGAAAATAACAAAAAACAGAAACGAAAAACTCAAAAATTACACAAATAAGAAACGAAAAACTCAAAAAAAAAAAAAAAAAACTCAAAAAACATTGATTAAAAGCTAAAATAAAGCAAAATTATAAACGATTTCCTTACTTGATAGATCGTAGACAATAATAGGAATCAATTTGATGAAGAATCGAATCAATCACAACTATGCTTTGGAGAAGTAGTATGAAGTTTGAGGAAGAATGTAGAAATCAGGAAAGAGAAAAGAGAGGAGAGAGAATGTTATGCATGAAAATGCAGGAGAGAGAAACCAAAAGGCTGGAAAAAACCCCTACCGTAGGATAAGATGAGTTTGAATCTACGGTCAAGATTTTGTGTTTTCAGTTTTTAACTTAAGGTTGGTTTTCACATGATCCAACTCCTATATATATATATATATATATATATATATATATATATATATATATATATATATATATATATATATATATATATATATATATATATATATATATATATATATATAAGAACTAGGAAGGCTCATATAAGAACCCTCTTCTATATAAGAATCCAATCTTATATAAGAACTCATCTCAACCGTTTAATGATTTTGATCTTACCATCTAAAATACTCCTTTAGTATGACATTTTTGTAATTCTTTATAACTTTTTTTCCACACTTTAAACAAAAATACCCTAAATCTCTCTCCTCAGCACTTTCTCTCTCCTCAACCCTTTCTCTCTCCTCAACCTTTTCTCTCTTCTCTCTCCTCTACCTGAAGGAACTTGGTAAGTTTATGAATTGTTAAAAAAATATAATTTAATTTAATTTTTTTATTGCTTTGATGTATTTGTTGTTTGATTTTTCATTAGAATTTTTTGCCTTTTTTTTTGCGATTTTAAGTTCGATTGTTTTGATTTTTGGTTCGATTTTTTTGATTTTTTTTTTTTTGCGATTTTAAGTTTGATTTTTAGGTTTTTTTTTTCGATTTTTCAGAATATATTTTTCGAATTTCCAGTTTTTTTTTTCGATTTTTTATTTTCAAGTTTATTTTTCGATTTTTTTTTTATTTTCCAGTTTTTTTTGTCGATTTTTCATTTTTTTTTTCGATTTTCCATTTTTTTTCTATTTTCCAGTTTTTTTTTGTCGATTTTCCAGTTTTTTTTTTTATTTTTTATTTTCAACTTTAGAACATAATAGAATTAGAACATAAGGAAAAACTTTAGAACATAAGGGATAAATATAATAGAACATAATAGAAAACTTTATAACATAATAGAAAACTTTATAGCATAATACTTTAGAACATAATAGAAAACTTTAGAACATAATAAGAAAACTTTATAGCATAATAGAAATAATTTACAACATAATAGAAAATCTTAGAACATAATAGAAATACTTTAGAACATAAGGGAGAACTTTAGAACATAAGGGAAAAATATAATAGAACATAATAAAAAACTTTTGAACATAATAGAAAACTTTATAGCATAATAAAAATACTTTAGAACATAATAGAAAATCTTAGAACATAATAGAATTACTTTAGAACATAAGGGAAAACTTTAGAACATAATGAAAAACTTTAGAACATAAGGAAAAAATAATACATAAACTTTAATTACCTTTTTCTTCTATAAGTAATTTCAGATTGTTTTTTTTTACTACAATTTGTATTTATGATAATTAGGTTTTGACATATTCATGGATTTAGATGATGTTGAAGATAATTCTCCTTCTTCCAATGTTACTCATTCAGGTAATTTTCATTGTTTTAATACTTTAATTTCAACTTACTTACATGTTCTAAACTTTACTTAGTTGTATGTTTTAAAGTAATTTTGTGAATTTGTGGATTATGTTTAAAAGTTGTTTTAATGTTCTAAATTATTTCTGTTAATGTTCTAGAGTAATTCATTATGTTCTAAACTTTTCCTCTTTATTCTATTTCAATTTACTTATATGGTGTAAACTTTACTTACATGTTCTAAACTTTACTTACATGTTTTAAAGTAATTTTGTAAATTTGTTGATTATGTTCAAAAGTTGTTTAATATTCAAAAAAAATTCTAGTTATGTTCTAAAGTAATTCTTTATTTTCTAAATTTTTTCACTTTATTCTAAATTTTATTATGTATGTTATAAAGTAATTTACTATGTTCTGAAATTTATTCTTAATGTTCTAAACTTTTTTCATTATGTTCTAAAGTTTTCTATGTATGTTTCTCTTTCTGTTTATGTTCTAAAGTTTATTCTTAATGTTATAATATTTTCTTTATATTCAATGACTTTTATTATAATTTCTAAAGATTAACTTCTAGTTTTAAATTTTTCTTTTTATGTTCTAATGCAGTTGGTGTTATTTATCGTACTCCTGAGGTTGTTGGATCATTTAGTTCCCGAAGAGTTAAAACCTCGTTTGGGGATGATATTCAAAGATCCCGAAAAGGGTCTTAGTTTTTATAAAGCATATGCAAATGCCGCTGGGTTTACTTCTAGGAAATCTACTACTTCAAGGATGAAGAATAACAAAGATATAATTGCTTTTCAATATGAAGTTTGCAATAAGGAAGGTTTCAAGGCAACAAAAAAAACCTATTTCTCAACAAACCGTTGATGAAGAAGGAAAAGTTCGTATTACTAGGAAACGTTTAGTCACTCGTGTAGGATGCAATGCTCACATATGTAAGAGATATGATGTCGGAAAGTATGTTGTTAATCATTTCAAAGAAGAACATAATCATTGTTTATGTACTCCAAGTTGTGCAAAATTTCAAAAGGATAATAGAAAAATGCATATTATGCATAAGAAGTTGATTGTTGATAATTCAAAGGTGATTTATTTTTATGTGCCAAATATTATTTTCTTTGTTATGATTTACTATGTTCTAAAGTTGATCTTTAATCATAGTAATTTTTTTTTCTTTTTGTTTTTGTACACAGGTAAATGTTGGTCCTGTGAGGTCTTATACAATGATGAAAGAATTAGCTGGATCACATGATAATGTTGGTGCATCTAAACAAGATTTCAAAAACTTTTATAGAGATTTGAAGGCTTATATTGCTGGATCAGATACCCAAATGTTTGTGGATAACTTTCAAAATAAGAAATTGCTTTGGAGAGCCTTTTTTTTTTTACTATGATGTTGATGAAGAAGGTAGACTTTGTAAAGCTTTATGGGCTGATCCTATTTGTCGAAAAAAATTATGCACTTTTTGGTGATATGGTTTCTTTTGATACAACGTTCCAAACAAACAGGTGATGTTCTAAATGTAGATTTTTTTATGTTCCTAAATTAATATCTATCATGTTTTGATGTTCTAAACATATATTTCTTATGTTCTAAATTATGTATGTCTTATGTTCTAAACATATATTGCTGATATACTAAACATAGACGCCTTATGTTCTAAAATATTGGCAAGTTTAATAATTAAAATAAATTTCTATGCTCTAAAGTTTATCCTTAATGTTCTAAAGTATACTTTTATGCTCCACAATTTACCTTTCTGTTCTAAACTTTATCCTAAATGTTCAAAAGTATACCTTTATGCTACACAATTTACCTTTATGTTTTAAAGTTAATCCTTATGTTCTAATATTTTCTGCATATATAATTTGTGTATGTTACAGATATAATATGATCTTTGGTCCATTTATTGGAGTTGATCATCATAAGAAATGTGTTACTTTTGCGGCTTCTTTTGTAACTCATGAAGATATATCATCTTTTGAATGGGTTTTCAAAACTTTTCTTAAATCAATGGGAAATAAGGAGCATGTGTGTTTGATTACCGATCAAGACCCTGCAATGAAAGTTGTTGTTCATAATGTTTTTCAAACTACAGAACATAGGTTTTGTATGTGGCATATTATGAAAAAGGTGCCTGAAAAAGTAGGTCGGGCAATTACCCAAGAAACTGATTTTTTGAAAAAACTTTGTGCATGTGTTTGGCATTTAGAGATTGAGCTAGCAGAATTTGAAGAAAAGTGGAACAAAGTTATTTCAGAATTCAATTTGAACGATCATGAGTGGTTGGCACACATGTTCAACATACGTGATATGTGGATTCCAGCGTATTTCAGAGATTTATTTTTAGGTGGCATCATGAGGACCACATCTAGATCCAAAAGTGAAAATAATTTTTTCACTATGTTCACAAATCCCCATCTCACTTTGATTGAGTTTTACATGAGGTAATATGTAAATGTCTAAATATGTTCTAATTTTAATCTTTATGTTCAAAAGTTTTTCTTTAATGCTTTAAAGTTTTCCTTTTTTTTGTTTTATAGTTTTACCATTTTTTTCAACTCTCTTTTATTTTATAAATTTTGTCTTACATGTTTTAAAGTTTTATTTTAATGTTTTAATAGTATTTAGATCATAATAATTAGGGAAATTCTCAATGGTACTCTTCAACTTTTTTTTTCTCAATGGTAAACACTAAAAAAACAAATTATCAATGGTATTCTCTAAGTTGTAAAATAATTCAGTGGTAACATTAGTTAAGCATTTTTATAAAATATTAACTATGATTAATGTTTTTAAATGGAAGGAAAAAGGAAATGCCTAAAATACCCATATTGAAAAAACCCACCACCCACTTCTTCCCCGCCAACCCCTGCACGCCCAACCTCGACACCTAGATCCAGGATGGCGCCGGCCGCGACTACCTAGATCACCTCCCCGGCGTTGGCGCCAGGCTTCTCTTGCCGCCGCGATTCCTTCTTCACCGTCACTAATTTGCAAACTCACCGAAAACCACCATCGCCATTAATTTTCCACCACCACCACCTGTTCTTCACCATCGCCATTTGCAAACTCCTTCCACCACCACCCCCTGCTCTTCACCATCGCCGTTGATTTTCCACCGTGATTTAAGAAATCCGACCCGGATAACAAACTCACCGAAAACCACAACAAATCTAAGCCAAAACCACCATATTCGAGCAACTTCGAGCCAAAACCCCCATTTTCAAGCATAAATCGACCCAAAACACCCTAACACACCTTGAATCGAGCAAATAATGACTGAATATTCAAATCAAAAGCTGATTATTTTGCCTCCAAAAACCCTAGCAATTTCAACCAAAAATCCAAAAATATGAGTTTGGTTTGGGTTACTTTTCAGAGTAGTTCTGTCTTCTGGAAAATGTGACGGAAATTTGGAGAGAAAGAGAGTGTTCTGCAAATTCGAGAGAGAGAAAAAATTTGTGAAATTTATGAAAGGGTGGTGACTGAGCTTAGAATCAGGGGAATGAGAGAGAAACAGGGGAAGGAGAAAGAAACAGGGGAAGGAGAAAGAATCAGGGAAAAAGATATGAGGAAATCGCGGAAGGTGAAGGTCGCCGGCATCAGGGGAAGGGAGGGAGAGGTCGTCGACACCATGGGAAGGGAGGGAGACCGTCGCCGGCCGTCGCTGGCAGGGGAGGGGGTTGGCAGTGGGTTGGGGTTGGGTGGCTGGGGTTTTTTTAATTTTTTTTTATTTAATTAATAGGGTTATATTAGTCATTATTCCTCTAGTTAACTAGGGTTAAGCTAATAATAATGGAATAATGTCATTAATGTTACTACTGAATTTGTTTTACAAATTATAGATTACCATTGATAATTTGTTTTTTTAGTGTTTACCATTGAGAAAAAAAGAAAGTTGAAGAGTACCATTGAGAATTTCCCTAATAATTATGTCATGTGTATTATTTTAATATGTTCTAATGTAATTCACTTTATGTTCTAAAGTTATTTTTTATGTTCTAAAGTTAATTTTTATTTTCTATAGGTTTGAATGTGCATTGGATGCTTAAAGGCACACTCAAAATAAAATGGATAATGATTCGAAGAATAAGCGTCTAGAGTGTAAGACTCCAAATCCTTTAGAAAAAGATGCTTCCAAGTTGTTTATAACAACAATTTTTTATGATTTTCAATATGAGCTTGAAATTGGATTTTTTAATTGTGGTGTTGAGGAGATGAAGAAGGACAATGAGATTAACATTTTCAAATTAAGGAAAGGATCTAGGAGGAGGGATTTTGATGTTGTCTTTGATCCAACTACCTTAGATACCAAGTGTTTTTGTAAAAAATTTGAACGTGATGGTGTGCCTTGTAGGCATATGATTTGGGTGTGGAAGGCAAGGATGTTAGAAAAAATTCCCAAGACTTACGTTTTAAATAGATGGTGTACAATGGCTTATACGAAGCCCATTTTTTATTTAGAGGGTAATGTTTTAGAGGAATGTCTTAATGCAGTAGATAAGAAGATGCTATTAAATGATTTGTGGTGTGAAATTCATGCTTGTGTGAGTTTAGTGCAAAACAATGAAGATGATCTAAGTGATCTTGTCAAAAAACTTCGAGCCATGAGAATAGATTTGGAACAGAAGAAAACAACAAATGGAAGCAACAATTTTTGTAGCAAAGTTAAAGACATTGAAATGCTTATTGGAGCTAGTTTACCTTCTGAAGTTTTGATCAAAGCTCCTAAAATTTCAAAAAACAAAGGTATGAGGGTTCATGTTCCAAATCAGGTTAATGTTCCAAATGATACCCATGTTCCAAATGATACGCATGTTCCAAATAGTGACAAGAGAATGAAGAGTGACAGAGAAAAAGCTGTTGAACAAAGTCAAAAGAAGAAAAGATTATGTAGAGCATGTGGAGAGCTTGGTTATCATGATAGTCGTAATTGTCCAGGGAAAGTCAAGTGATATTGTAAGTAAACATTTTTTTTCTTATGTTCTAATTAGTAATAAATTAAAATTATTATTATATAAATATTTTGAGTTTTAAATTTAATACTTTGAATTTTTAATTTAAACATATTGTATATGTTTTAAAATGCATCAAATATGTTCTAAAATTTATAATGTGTTTATGTTCTAATTATTAATTTTTTTTTTCAGGTTGACTATGTTATTCGTACAACCGTATGGGACATTTTATTTTTAGAAAATAGCACATGGAAAAAATTTTGTGTAAATTTTTTTTTATATTTTTTTTCTATTTTCTTTATTATTTTGAGAACATAATGACATATTATTTTTTTCCAATTATTCTCTATATTCTTATGTTTACAATTATAATATAACATGATTATATTATAACTCTTATTCTTTTATTAACATAATTTTTGGCAATATTATAACATGAGAATGGGGTTGGATGAGTATGAGATAACACAATATTTTTAAAGTAATGTGAACCATTTATTTTGGGCAAATTTTGCAAGTAACAACTTAAATACTTTAGAACATAATCAGAAATACTTTAGAACATTATAATAATAAATTAGAACATAATTCGAAATACTTTAGAAAATTGACATGTAATTTAGAACTCAATCATTAGAAATAGTTTATGTAAATTAGAACATAATAAGAATTACTTTAGAACATACACATGCAACATAGAACATATTAATAATTACTTTATATACATTAGAACACAATCAAAATAACTTAAAATTATGTTAATGTTCAAAATATTATGTTACTTTATATACTTTATATACATTAATGTTTCAAAGTATACACATGTTCAAAATAGTCATCTCCATAATCATATATTTGTACAAAAAAAGTATTATTATATATACTTGAGATTTACACAATCAAATATCAAAATTTGTTGATCTTTGACCACTTTCTAGCCATTTTCAACACTTTTTTCCGTTCTTCATTTACTTCTGATGTTATAATATTCCCACAATACTCCACTCGTAACCTTTTCATTTGCTCAAACTGCACAAAAAAAAAATGACTTTAGAACATATACATGTAATTTAGAACATAATAAGAATTACTTTAATTAGAACCTAATCATATATGTCTTGTACTTACATTATCCTTCTCTAGTCCTGAATTCCATTGTTTTTGACATTGGCCTTCATAGGTTTCCATGTGCTGCAATAGAAATACTCCACATTCATGTTTATTTCGGTTGCTTTTCTATCTCATCTCAACATTTCTTGTTTCATAAGTGAACTTTAGAACATAATAGAAAACTTTAGAACGTAAGGGAACTTTAGAATATAATAGAAATACTTTAGAATATATGGGAAAACTTTAGAACATAAGAGAAAAATATAATATAACATAATAGAAATTTTTAGAACATAATAGAAACTTTAGAACGTAATAGAAAACTTTAGAACATAAGGGAAAAATATAATAGAACATAATAGAAAACTTTATAACATAAGGGAAAACTTTAGAACATAATAGAAATACTTTAAAACATATGGGAAAACATTAGAACATAATAAGAATAATTTAAAATTATGTTAATATTCCAAATAAGGTTAATGTTCCATATGATATCAATGTTCTTAAATTTCTTTATAGCATAATAAAAAAATTATAATTAACTAAGTCAAAACTTTACACCTTACCATTTTTGTAAAATCATCCCCATATTTGTCTTCAACCGAAACATTTGGTGAAAGAATCATGTTATCAATGACATCGAGAGTACCTTCCATAAAGTTGAAGTGCAACAAATAATAGTGATCCGTTAAAACAGCCGGAAAGAAAACCTACGTTTAGAACATAATCAGAGACTTTAGAACATAAACAAACATGTGTTTAGAACATAATCATATATTTTAAAACATTATAATAATAAATTAGAACATAATTAGAAATACTTTAGAACATTGACATGTAATTTAGAACTCAATTAAAATAAATAAAACACTATATAAAGAAAAAAAAAACTTACCAATTGAAAGTTGTTAAATGTTGTTACTTTGGCATTTGTCATTTCTTTTCTCATTTGATGAAACAAATCTTTTTTATTCTATCTTCCCAACTTTCAGTATTTTTGATGTATTTTTCAGTGCAAATAATTAGCTGGAAAAAAAATATTAAAACTCAAGTAATTAGAACATTGACATATAATTAAAACATAGACATGTAATTTAGAACATAATTAGAAATACTTTAGAACATTGACATGTGATTTATAACTAAATCAGAACTACTTTAGAATATCTTTTGAAATACTTTAGAACATTGATATGTAAATTAGAACATTGACATGTAATTTAGAATATAATCAGAATTACTTTTGAACATAGTCATATAATAGCATGATAAAAAAAAATAAAAAAAATAAAAAAATAAATAACTAAGTCAATTCTTAACACCAAAACCTTCTTTACCAAATTAAACCAAAAAAAACTAATCATATATGTCTTGTATATTTTATATGGTAAGATAATTAGAACATACATAGCATTTAGTAGAGAAAAAAATCTACTCTTCTTGTCTTCACCACGCCTTTTGTTTTCACAATTTAATATGAAAGAAAAAGCATCTGCAATGTTGTTGAACATGTGACTACATCCTGAAAGACTATCCATCTCATCTCTCCTAATCACCATTGCCGCTTTGTCAGCATACAAAAGTTCCCTAAAATGAGAACAAAAACTATATTAAATCAAAACAGCATTTTGAACATAAACATAATACTTTAAAACATAAGCACGTAATTTTAAACATAAGCATAGTGCTTTAGAACTAAATTTTAGAACATGATCAGAAATATTTTAGAACATAAACTATATTAATCAAAACATAATTTTGAACATTAGCATAATAGTTTAGAACATAAGCACGTAATTTTGAACATAAACATACAACTTTAGAACATAAGCATAGTACTTTAGAACATTTACTTAGGAAAAATATAACCATCGAAATTGAATTTGATTAGAAGACGAAGATGGGAATTTTAAACATGTATTTTAAAACATAAGTTTCTACCTTAGAAGATAAATACAATGTTTAGAACATAAGTATATATATTTTATAACATAATCACATACTTTTATCATAAGCGTATAAATATAGATGGATGAAATCTTACGCGTTATCTCCTTGAGCAAAAGCATACTCAGCTATCATTTTATGATCTACATTGTTGAAGAGTTTTTCATGATTAACCATAAAAGGCGAACGCAAGTACATTGGAAGCTTATCCTTTCCTCTTTTTTTCCTTGTTTCTTCTTCTTTTTCTTCTTCTTCTTCTTCTTCTTCTTGCTTCGTATTCAATTGGATTAAAAAAAAAACAATCAACAACTAAAATCAAATAATAATCAAACAACCGCCATAGCCTAAATCTAATTACCGTTGCTTATTCTCTTTGTTGTTCTTTTCTTCAACATGCTTCTTCTTTTCTTTTTTGGTTTTGTTGTCCTCTTCTTCTTCATTCAATGTAGGTGGATGATCTAGATTCAAAAAATTTAGAATATTAAAAGAACTTTTGACATAATAAATATTATAAATTTTCAATATACATATAAGAAAAATAAAGTTAAAATAAGTCAAACTTACCAACTATTGGTGAGGGCGTCAACAAATTGAATCTTGGAAGTGAAATATCTTTATGCATCTTTTTTGGAGGAATAATTGGTGTCTTTGGTGTGTCATCATTCCTTTTCGTTTTCTTCTTTGTTGCACTCCTTCTTGCTCCTCTTGTCTTTCTCCTTCATTCTTCTCTTGGCTTTCTCCTTCCTTCGCCTCTTGCCTTTCTTTTTGATTATCCTCTTGTCCTTGGTCTTGCTTCTCTTCTTTCTCTTGAAAACATAATTATAAAACACAATATTAGAATATAATTGTATCATAAGAATTTGAGTTGGAACATTAACATAAACTTTAGAACATAAAGTGCAAACTTTAGAACATATAGCTTAAACTTTAGAACATATAGCGTAAACTTTAAAACATAAGCATATACGAATATTCTATTTCATTTTTTTAGTACTTTTCCTTTTTAAAATAAATTAATTAAAAGAACATTAATAAGAAATGAGTTTGAAAATAATTCAAAATTACCAAGTATAGGTGAAGAGATACAATCAACTATCTTTTCATTGATATTTCTCTCATCGTTGTTCTTTTCTCTTTCTCCTTCATTTGATGGCAAATCTTCATAATAATTACAAAACACAATTTTAGAACATAACTATATCATAAAGATTTGAGTTGGAACATAAACACTTGATTTAAAAATGTAATTACCATGTCCCACTATGTGAAAAAATAAAATTGGCACCGGTTCAAACCTGGCCTAAGGCACCGGTTTGAACCGGTGCCAATGTGGGGGTGCCAAAAAGTGGTTTAAAAAGGCACCGGTTCAAACCGGTGCCAAAACTCGGAATTGGCACCGGTTAACTGGTGCCAAAAAATTCCAATAAAATTTAATTCATTGCTTTTGGCACCGGTTAACCGGTGCCAAAAGTGCCAAAAGTAATTTTTTTTTTAATTTTTTACTTATAAATTAAATAAACTAAAATAAAATGAGAATAAAAAAAATCAAACATCACAATCAATATAATATACTCTGTTCATATATATATAATCATCAACAAAAATTTACAGTATAGATCAATAAAAAAAATTACAACATATAAATCAAAATAAAAAAAATTAAAACATATAAATTAAAAAAAAAATTACAATATAAATAAAAAAAAAAAAAATTACTACTTCATAAAAAAAACCCATACAACATCTAAATCAATATACTTGCATCTTGATTCTTTGATTTAAGTGTACCTGCACCAATTAAAACAACCAAAATAAATCAATTAAAATGATTTAATAAAGCTACGAAAACCCTTCAAAAAAAATAAAGCTACGAAAAAATTAAAAAAAAAACTAGAAAATCGAAAAATAAAAAACAAAATCAGTTGAAAAGAAAAAAAAACCAGAAGATCAGTTAAAAACCAAAATTGAACCCATAAATTAAAAACCAAAATCGAAAATCAGGAAAAAAAACTCAGAAAATAAAAAAATTTCGAATTTAAATCGAAAAATAAAAAAGAAAATCAGTTGAAAAGAAAAAAAAACCCAAAATTTTTATGATTTGCCAGTTGCCATTCAAATAAAATCCAAATTTTCTACACAGATTGAGGGTATTAATAAAAGATAATTAACGGATCTAAATCAAGTAAAAAAAATCAACAAACCCAGAACAAATCTTGCATCTTTGACACATTTCTAGGTACCAGAAACCCACAAAACAAACAAAAATCCCAAAATTAACAGATCACAAAAGTTCGACCAAAAAAAACCCAAATCAACTTGTATTAACCCAAAATAATCAACTTCGAACAAACCCATAAAAAAACCCAAAAACGCATGCATTAACCCAAAATCGATTATTGTAACCGAAAATTAACCCAGAAATCGAAAAAAAAAATCAAAATCGAAAAAAAAAACAATCGAAATCGAAAAAAAAACCCAAAAATAGAAAAAAAAAATCAAAATCGAAATAAAAAAAATTAACCCAGAAAAATCCACAAATCGAAAACACCCAGAAATCGAAATAGTTGAAATCGAAAACACCCAGAAATCGAAAGAAAAATAAAAAACCCAGAAAAAAAAATTGAAATCGTAAAAAAAAAAAAACGAGAAATCGATAAAAAAAAAAAACGAGAAATCGATAAAAAAAAAAATTAAAATCAATTAAAAGAAGAGTTTGAAAGAGAACGAGAAAGGGATTGAAAGAGAACGAGAAATGGATTGAAAGAGGAGATGAGAAAGAGCAGATGAGAACGAGAAAGGGATGAGTGAGAAAATGAGAAAGAGAAAGGGATGAGAGAGAGAATGAGAGGAGATGAAGCGGCGAAAATACAAGCGAGAGTGTGAGTGAAATAACTTAGGGTTTGAGTGGTATAACAATATAAATGGAATAAAAAAAATAAAGGGATAAAAAGGCCGATTTTTTTTTAAGGATTGGCACCGGTTCAAACTGGTGCCCTTTGTATTTTTGGCACCGGTTTGAGCTGAACCGGTGTCATTTCTCTTTGTCTAAAAACCCGCCCATTTTTAGGCCGATTTTTGGCACCGGTTTGGCCTGAACCGGTGCCATTTGGGGGTTGCCGTTTTGTATTTTTCTACTAGTGTCCCTTGGTGACTTTTCACCATTGAATTTCTTCCATGCTATGTTCATCAACATATCCAATTCTTCTATGAATGTCGGTTCATCGAAGAAATGTTGATCGTGACTAAGTATAGAATGACTTTTTTTTCTGTTGCTTTTCTTCTTCTTGATTTACCAATGACTATATATAAGAATACATAAGTTAGAGTCCAATAAGACATTTATATATGTTGAACTATTATAAATATAAAAATTACACTTTAGAACATAGGCTGAAAATAGTTTAGAACATGATTATAATACCTTTGTGGTATACTTGCACCAAATGTTGTCTATAAGATGATGCATTTTCCCAGTTGTTTCTTCCTCAACAAAGATACCCTTTGCTTGTTCCCACATGTTATACATCTCTTTTACATTCGATGCAAGACTTTTTGCCAAATCTCCAAATTTGCTTATAAAGCCCTAATAATTTAAAACATAAAATAATGAATATTTAAAATATTATAGAAATAAGTAAATAAATTAATAAAAAAAATATTAAAACATTATACCATCATATCATTTGGAGACGTGATAAAATTACAAGTCATTGATTGGTTTTCCACAACTTTCTCTTTTCCTTTGTCTTTCCCTTGCTTTTTTATTACTTTCTTCTCCCCTTGTTTTTCTCTAATTTTCAAGGGTTGCTCTTTCTTCTTGCCTTTGTCATTCTCTTGCCTTTTTTTCCAATCCCTTTTTAAATATACATTATAAATTTTAGAATACATGCATAAATATAATGTATAGATAAATATAAAACGATAATAAACTTTAGAATATATATTACAAAGTTTAGAACATATAGTATAAACTTTAGAACATAAGCATATACAAAAATCATACCACATTCAATTTCATTCTTTCTAGTACTTTTCCTTTTCCAAATCCAAGGTCTTTCTCAAACTTCAATCTTGTATGGAACCTTTCTTGGTTCCACAATGATATTAGTGGAACTTGACGTGGTATCTCTAACCCCTTCCTTTGCTCAAAATAGGATACCTACAAGAACATCATTAGAAATACTTTAGAACATTGATATGTAAATTAGAACATAGATATATAAATTAGAACATCATTAAAAATTACCATAAGAAAGATTAAAGGACCCGTAAAGAAAGATTCTCCATCTAGCCATTTCTTAGTAGTTTCCATCAAGTGCTCATTAACAAATTTGCACCAATTCAAATCAACTATATTCTTTGTATCCTTGCAACTATACAAAAACTTAACGTATAGTTGCTTGTTATTAGTTGAACGGATGCAACTATTAACCACACAAACCAAAAAATTCCAAATGAATTCATCCGAAACTTGTTTTTGTTCTTTATCTACCTCCTTTACCTTTTGGATCCTACTAATCAATTGTGCATTTGTTGGAGAACCCTGTAAGTAATTTAGAACAAGGACAAGTAATTTAGAACATAATCAAAAATACTTTAGAACATAATTAAAAATACTTTAGAACATAATCAGAATAACATTAGAGCATAAGCAAAAATCCTTTAGAACATAAGCAGAAATACTTTGAACATAAGTAGAAATACTTTAGAACATATCAAAAATACTTTAGAACATAATGGAAAACTTTAGAACATAAGGAAAAAATAAGATTGAACATAATAGAAAACTTTAGAACATAACAGAAAACTTTAGAACATAATAGAAATACTTTAGAACATAAGGGAAAAATATAATAGAACATAATAGAAAACTTTAGAACATAAGGGAAAAATATAATAGAACATAATAGAAAATCTTAAAACATAATCAGAAATACTTTAGAACATTATTAAAATAAATTAGAACATAATCCAAATAACAAGTTTAGAATACAAGTACACATAAAAATATTCATACCACTTTAAGGTTAAAGTTTTTTCTTCATTTTTGCATAAAATTTGCACATTTATTCTTGTTTTCTATTGTATCAAGAATTGCTATATCTCCCATTGGCAATCCATATGTCATGTGAACATCAATTTCATCAAAGAGTATTTCTTCTTCTCTCCCCGATAGCATCAAGCAACATCTCTTGGGATCAAAATTCGTAAGAAGTTGTTGTGTCAACCTAGATTTTAATTAAAGGTTTAGAATACAAAATACATACAGATTAGAATTTAAATAAAAATAAAAATTAACATGATAATTAAACTTTAGAACATTAATTAAAATTTTATAAGAATTAGAACATAATAGGTGATATTTAAATAATAAAAACAAAAAATAAAAGTTAACGCTAGTGCTTACCAAGAATCCACATAATGTGGTGCATCCAAGTTCAAAAAAGCTCCAAATACAATTTTCTTAGTTGCTTGTTTATGCTTATCAGAATGATCTACCAACACTTGTTTCATCAATTTCTTAGCAGTAACTCTTTAATAAGCCGATCTCTTATTTTTTTTCCATTTTGATTATTTTGACATCCTCATCATCCTTTTCTTTCTTTTCATATTTTTTTTCAAAATCACCTGAAAAAAGTAGAACATTAGAAAGAATTTGAATTAGTAGATAAATTATTGTTATATAAAAATAAAGTTTAGAACATATGTATATAATTAAAACATCAACTTGGAAATGTAAGAATGTAACTTACAAAAATCATTTACTTATTAATTAAATCATTTACTTTAGAACATAAGCATGAATGTATTAGAACATATGCATATAATTAATAAAGTTACATATTAATTATGAATGTAGAATATAAACATGCAATTTATGACATTAGCATATAATTTAGAACCTTTTTACTATCATCATTCACGCCATCTCTTTTATCATCTTTCTCCTCCAACTTTGGTCCATCCATCTCATCATTAATATCATGTTGATCATCATTCTCATCATCGTCATCGTCATCATCTTCTTCTTCTTCTTTTTTTTTCATTTTTCTAGTTGGTTGAATCCTTGATGAAAGCTTGACACTTTTTTTTCGTTTTTGACTTTGCACATGTTTCTCAAATTCAGCTTTGTCAATTACTTCCGCTTCATTTTTCAACAAATTTCCTTTAAAATCAAATATAAATGATTTAGAACATATATGATAATCTTTAGAACATAATAGAAAACTTTATATCATAATATAAATACTTTAGAACATAATAGAAACTCTTATAACATAATAGAAATACTTTAGAACATAAGGGAAAACTTTAGAACATAATAGAAAACTTTAGAACATAATAGAAATATTTTAGAACATAATAGAAAACTTTAGATCATAATAGAAATACTTTAGAACATAATAGAAAATCTTTAGAACATAAGGAAAAACTTTAGAACATAATGGGAAAACTTTAGAACATAAGGGAAAAATAACACATAAACTTTAATTACCTTTTTCTTCCATAAGCAATTTTTTCATCTGGTATTATAGTAATTTCTTCTTCTGATTTTTCTTCATTTTGGCCTTGCATTTTGCTGCAATTTTAAAAAATAAAAAACATTAGTAACATTCCAACATTAGTAATATATTTTAAACATAAGAATAGTTTAGAACATGCTGAAAATAGTTGTCTTTGTAGGCATTATATAAGTTTTAACTCTTTATAAGATTCATTCAAGTCCAATGCATTTAAAGGTCTTTCTAGCTACAATTAATGGTAAGAGCATACAAGCCAACATAATCACCATCTTAGTCTCAAGCTTCTTTGTGTCAAAACAAACAACTTAAGGAGCTATAAGATGGATATGTCATAGAAGAGAATAAACATGACAACAAAACGATGCTCAAACTCAACCTCATTATTATACTTGAAACAACCCTTCAATCAAGATATAAGAAAAAAAAAAACATAATTAACATCATTGATGTATCAAATATGACACAAGCACTGAAAGAAGGCTTTTAGGAAGTGTGATACTAATTGTTACACATATACATAATCTAATCTAATATCGATATAGTATATGCTAATCGAGTGTATCAAGCCACTCAAAATACCTTTATGGATCTCTTATTTTCAAGTTCTATGAGGTACTCTGTTGTTCCGAACCGTGCCATTACCTTAGTTTGTCTTCCCTTTTCAGGATCCACTGAAGCACCCTTATTACTGTCAAAAGTGACTTTGCTGATAAAAATGTCTCAGTTTAAAAACTAAGCTATTTCATATAAATATAGAATTCTGAATACCAAAAAAAAAATAAGAACAGAAGTGAATCATACCCTGCCTTGTCTTCGAAACCACTTGTCAAATGACTCAGCTTCTAAACTTAATTTAGTCCTGAGATCAACACAACTTCCCATAATCTTAATTCATTTACATCCAAACTAATGTAAAGATAAACATAAACAAATTTGGTAAAATAAAATACCAACATGACTCGTCAAAATCTAGAACAAAGCTAATGTATCTCATAGTAGTATTTGGCAGTCCAGTAGAAGTCAATCAAGAATATCGACAAAGGACACACATGCTCGTGTTTCAACATAGGATTAAGCTCGAAAAAAATCAACAATAAAAATCGAACAAAATCGCCGAAAATTAATTCGCAAAAATCGAACTATATAATTCGCAAAAATTGAACTAATTAATTCGAACAAAATCAAAAGATTAGCATCAAATCGAATAAAATCAAAAGATTAGCAAAAATTGAACCCTAAATTGAACACTAAAGCCGCAAAAATCGAACAAATATTCGAGCCCTAAATTTTCGAAAATCGAACTCAAAAAAATCGAACAAAAAACAAAGAAAATCGAACAAAAAAAAAATAAAGAAAATCGAACCAAAAAAAAAATCGTACCAAAAAAAATAATAGAAAATCGAACAAAAAAAAATAAAATTGAACAAAAAAAAAGAAAAACAGTTCGAAAATTCGAAAAGAAAAACAAAAATCGAACTATATAAAATTTTTCAACAAAAATCGAAAAGAAAAACAAAAAAATCAACAGTTCGAAAATTCGAGCCCAATATTTTCGAAAATCGAACTCAAAAAAATCGAAAAGAAAAACAAAATCCACTTCAACATCATGCTAATTTCATAGAAATTTAAACAAAATCGAAAAGAAAAACATACCTTAAATTAAAATCTTTCAAATTGCAATATTATGGAGATTTTTGGGGTTTGAAGAGAGAGAGAAGGAAAGAAACGTGAGGAAGGGAGATAAAGTTAGAGGAGAGAGAAAATTTTCGGTGGTGGGTAAGGAGTTAGAGAGAGGATACGTGTTCTAATCTGAACCGTCCGAATTAATCTAATCCTACGGATGAGATTGATTCTTATATAATTAAGGTTCTTATATAAGGATGGGTTCTTACCGGATCCCTCCCCTAGAAGGGGGATCATATGAGACCACATCCCTTATGTGAGAACCCTATTATATGTGAGGACTAATTATAACCGTTGGATCAATTACATCCAACGACCACAATAAAATCCCGGTCAAACAAAACTCCTGCGTTTTTTCTCTCTCCTTCTTCCTCTTTCACGCGCTATTTTCTCTCTCCTCACAATTTCTCTATTTTCTACTCTCTTTCTCTCTGCTATTCTCTCTGATTTTTCATCACTACTCCTTCAATATTCATCAATTCTTTTTCAAGGTGAGTTTATTGTTTATATTTTTGTGTTTTTCAATTAATTTTAGGTCACATTCAGTTACATTTGTTGATTTTCGTTTTGATTTTCGCTGATTTCAGCTCACATTGTTTATCAATTTGTGTCGATAATGTTTTACTTTGTTTTTTTCATTGATTTTAGTTTTATTCTCGTTTTTTTAGTAGTTATCAAGTTGATTTTGCTTATTTTCGTTATTGTCCAGTTTTTTCGTTTTTTTGGAAACCTAGAAATACTGATAATTTGTGCTATTATGTTGATTTTAGCTTGATTTTAGGTATTTTAATTATTTTGTGTATTTTAATTTGATTTTCGGTTTACTTTAGTTCTCAATTATGTTTTATTTTCTGGTTTTATCTTATTTTTTTGTTTGATTATAGCTTTATTTGAGTAATTATTAGTTGATTTTAGTTTTAATTTTGCTTCATATGAGTAATTATCTTACATTTTCTTTGTTTTTTTTGGAAACCTAGAAGTAATTGCTATGGATTCTGCAAATGTTCCTCAAGAAAATACAATGTATGTGTTTCTGCTCATTTTATTTTTATTATTTGAGTTATTATTATTTTTGTTGTTGTTGTAGATTAGTTGATGAGTTGTATTACTTGTATGGGAGTTCTTGTAGATTAGTTGATAACTTGTTCATTTTATGTTTTGTTCTTCATTTATGAAATATTAGCTTTTTAATTGACAGTTACAAGCAATAAAAAGTTGTAGATTATGTTGGGAAGTAATTTTCAATACATCTAAAACTGCCACAGGTTAATACTTGAATGTGAAAGCAAATAGGAAAAAAAACAGTTTAAGATGGGAGTACAGGGCTTTCATCTCTTTTGTTTGTCTTAGAAATTCTCACAATCAAAATTCCCTGTGCAATGTTATTACTATCGTCACCACAAAGCTACCAACTTCGTCGTGTACTTAGTTCGGCTTTTCACATCAGAAGCCAAGAAGCTGATAGTTTGAAGGCGTTTGACTGTTCGGCTTTTCACAACAGAAGCCTAGAAGTTAGTTCATTATGTTGTACATCAGGTCTTAAAGTAGATATCAGTGAGAAAGAATTTGAGTTTAAAAACAAGTTCTCAAACTTCTTCATACTTTGAAAGTAGTTGATAACTTGTTCATTTTATGTTTTGTTGTTCATTTTAGCACTAAGTATTTGCTCATTTGAGAAATGAGCATTTAACTATTTGCTCATTTGAGAAATGAGCATTTACGTTTTTGTTCATTTTGTTAAATTAGTAGCTAAGTATTTGCTCATTTGACATCAAGGATACCTATTTTGTTGAGCAGGACATCTGTTGAGACAGATTCTGCTGTTAATGTTGGTGGTCAAGATGCAGCAGAGGCAGGACAGTTAAGAGTTATTGGTGGTGACCAAGATGCAGCAGGGGCAGCACAATTAAGAGTTGGTGGTGACCAAGATGCAGCAGGGGCATCATAGTTAGGAGTTGTTGGTGGTGGCGAAGATGCAGCAGGGCCAGCACAATTAGGAGTTTTTGGTCGTTCTACACAACCACAATATAAAGGAAGGAGTTTCAAGACATGATCTTCTAATGACAAAGGAAAAATGGTTTTAAAGGACACATTAAAGAAAGAAAAACAGATGATTAAGGTAGTGGAGATGAAATCCAGCAATGAATTGCAAGGTTTGAAGTCAGGCAATGAAGTGGAAGGTTTGAAGTCTCACATTCATGGGACATTGCATAGTCGGATGTCACCCTCATCCATTGTTCAAGTTATGGAATCAGTTTTACTTTCACAAAATCAGTTGAAAGCAGTTAGAGATATAGGATTTGGGTCGATGGAGTTTTTGAAGGTGACCCAACTGCCTTTGTTGTTGGGTTTATGGTTGGTGCAGCACTTTGATGCTAAGACGTGCTCATTAAATATTCCTGATTCTGATCCTTTCCGTATTACTGAAGACCTGTGCATGAAGTTCTTGGGTTGCCAATAGGGGGCATAGAGATTAATAAAAATAATTTTTCCAGAAATAAAAAAGTCATTCAGCAATGGAAAAAGCAATTCCAAAGCAACTCACTCTTTATCAAAATAGGGGAGCTTAAAGAGTTTTTGAAGGAGCATAAGTCAGCTGGTGCTATGTTCAAACGGAAATTTGTAGTTCTTTGTGTGTCTACACTGATGGATGGTAGTCTTCTTATTTTTATTATGCTCATTTTACTTTCAATTTGCTCATTTTCAATTTAGTTTGCTCCTTTCTATTTTATTTTGCTCACTTAAATTTCTATTTGCTCATTTCTCTTTTGCTCTGCTCATTTTTTTGTCAAGGAAACAAAACATGAATATTAATTATGATATTCTTACATTTCTTTCTGATGTTGATAAAATCAAGGACTTGAATTGGTCAAAGTATATCCTTGATTCTCTCGTGAAGGGCAAGCTTTTATGGGAAGAACGTCCAACTCGTTCTTTTCCTGGGTCTTTATTGTTTCTTATGGTATTACTATAATTTTTGTTTATTTTTAATGTAGTATTTCTTACTTATTTATTGATTTTTAATTTACTATTTTTTCTTTTCTTACTTGTTTGTAGTTATTATATGTTGATCAATTTGTACTTGAGGAAGATTGAGCTGCACGTGAAATTCCAATCTTGAAAGGGTGGACAACAGCTATGTTGTCAACACGTGAGAAGTTGGAACTCTTTAAAGGGAGGCTTGGAAATATTCGTGCTAAAAAACTTGATGCTGGTTCTTCTAGCATGACACAGCCTAAAATGGTGTTTAACTATAATTTTCTGTTTTATTCTTTTCTTTTTATCCTACATTTTTAACTTTTTTGTTTTTTTATTTATGAAAAATTCATTCCTTCTGAAGTGGAAACTCAAGTAGTTGTCAATAAGGTAACCATATATATACTGTAATATTCTTTGTTCTTTTTGGAAATGACCAACTAATTTTTGCTCATTTGTCTAATGAGTAAGCAATTACTTGCTCATATTTGAAATGAGCAAATAATTTTTTGCTCATTTGACAGATAAGCAAATTATGCAATTGGTTATGTGTTATAAGTAAGCTTGGTTTATATTTGTTAGGATATTTGCTTTCAACTTGTTCTAACTTTCTTTTTTTTTTGTTTTGTTTTTGTTTGACTTTAGGAACAATCTGATCCAATTCGTACAAAAAAATGAAGAAAGTGAACAAGATCCAAAGAAGGTATTTATATGAGTTTTCTGGAAACCAATATTAATTTTTTGTTCATTTTTAGACATTGTTTGAACAAGAGTATTTATCCCTTCTAATTCTGCACTCCCCCCCTCCTCCACCCCTTAAACACACACACAAACACACACAATTATTCTTGTTTATTTGTCATTCTTCAATCATAATCTGAATCAATTTTTTGCTCATTTGTGAAATGAGCAATTAATATTTTGCTCTAGAACCGGCCGTGGAATGTGAAGAGCACATAAAGCCTGAGAATAAAAAAAAGAATTGAAAAATTAAATTTTAAAGAAAAAAAAAGCCAAATCTAATAAAAAGGGAACATATTATATTCTTGAAATTACCATCAACAACATAAAGAAGCAAGTGAGAAAAAAAATGAAGAAGTGGAAGGATTAATACTTTTTTTTTTGCTCTAGTACTATTGCTTCTAGTTATTTTGTATCAGATTTACTGTCTTCTTAGATCTTAGTGCATGGTCATCAGTTTGCAAGACTCATTAATTGAAGTGGAGTTGTAGTATGTTGAGCAGATCTTTGTTTCAAGTTTTGGGAAGAGGAATGGGGTGACTTGGCATTGTAGTTTGTAGAGTTCTTCTCAATATGATGCATAGAGGCAAGTGGCCATATGTGTGCTTTTGCATTACTCATATGCATCTCATGAATATGCGCCTACTGATTCTTTTCTCAAGAAACTGATTCTCCCCCTAGAAATGCGCCTACTGAACCTGTAGTTGCTTCTGTCAGTGCACAAGTTGGTGCTTCTGTTGCTAATGCCTCTCAAGCTGTTGGTGATGCTCTGAATGCTAATCCTCAAGATCTCATTTCTGATGCTCAAGAAGCTTTGATTGTGCATAAGAGAAAAGGTGATACTGAAAAGAAGAGTTCTATTCCAAAGAAACGCAAACCTCAGCCATCAGTGCTTCTTAGATCACCTTTTAAGTCCCGCATTATGATAATTTACAATCCATTATCACCAGTTCAGATGAGCGTCTTGAGAGCAATGTTTGCTGATGATAAAAATCGTTTGTAAGTATTTTTTTTTATCTATAGAATTTATTATCTTGTACATTAACTTCCATTTGTTTTAGCCATACTAACTTTCTTTATTCTTTTTATGCAGTGAACCAGTATTTAATGGAGAGAATGGTCTTGAAATTTTGAGATTACATCTTGAGAAGCTTTATAATAAATATAAAGTTGATACAGAGATCATTAATGCTTGGTGTATCATTCTGAATTATAATGAGCAATTTAGAGATCCAAATTCTCCTGCTCGTTTCTTTTTTGACCTTAGTGCTACCGTAAGTTCAAATTCTTTCATTTATTTTATTTTATTGAATTATTTTGTTATTTTGTTGTAATTAATTTTTTTTCTTTAACATGTAGGACTGTCTTATTCACTATGAGATAGATTCTGTTGCCCATCGGAATAAGATGTTTTTTGAGGTTGCTGAGAATTTGTACATGAAATCAGTTGTACCACACAAGGATATTCAGCTTTTTTTCTTCCCAGTTTATGAAGAAGATCATTACTATTTGGTATGTTTTAACACTACCACACTGAATGGTAATATCGAGCTTTTTGATTATAACGAAGATGCTGGAGATCATAAACAGCTTTTAAAACATTTGGTATGGCTTAAAAGTTAATCTCTATTCACATTATGTTTGTTTCTTTTACTTGAATGATCAGATTTTATTATATTTTCTTATTTGATGTTTTTATTTTCAGAGAACTGCTTTTTCAAACTTTATTCAATGTGAAGGAAATGTACAGAGTTCTATTTTGGCAAATGATATCAAGCGGATGGAAATTTCTGTGATTAATGGTTCATGGAAGTATTCGGATAAAAATCATTTGCATTATGGAGTTGTAGTGATGAGACTCATGGAAACATACATGGGTTGTGCAAAGTGGGATCCTGGTTTGTAGAAAAATAATGTAAGTCTTTCAGATTAGTCTCATTAATAATAAGATGTTTTGGTCTATTTGCTTACTTGTTCATTTCATAAATGAACAAAGAAATGTTTGCTCATTTCACAAATGAGCAACTAATTCTTTGCTCATTTAAGAAATGGGCAATTAACTTTTTGATTATTTGCTAAATGAGCAAGAAATTACTTGCTCATTTATCAAATGAGCAAAGAAATGTTTGCTCATTCGACAAATGAGCAAGGATTTACTTGTTCATTTCATAAATGAGCAAGGATTCCTATCAAATGTTTACTTTAATTTTGAGGTCTATGGTCCATTAATCTAGCAATACCGTAGGCCATTGCCTTCCAAGTTACAACTGCAACTTGTGGTGTTACTTTTACATGTTTGCTCATGTTATTGAAATCTCCTTAATTGTATAGGGTTTGATTATGTTATTTGTTTTGCAGCTGATAATCTTGGCTAAACTTTGTGAAAAGTACACCCTGGGAATAATTACAAGTGAAGTGAACACTATTCAATCTGTTAAAGAAATTACTTAGAAGAAGAAAAAGCAAAGTAAAGTTTCTGTTGCTGACAAAGAAGAAAATGCTGAAAAAGAAGAGCCTGAAGAAGAAAAAGTTCAAGGAAGAAAGAGAAAAAGACTGAAGAAAGCTGAATGTTAGGGAATTAAATAGTTAGTAGTGATGATTTGTCTTTTTTGGTTTAAAGAATTGGGTAAATTAAGATTTTATCTATTTTTAAGTAGTCTTTGAATGATGTAAAACTGATTTATAAACAGATTTTACCAACAGAAGCCTACCCTTTTTTACTGTAGTGATGATTATATTTGAATTAATATTCAATCTTTTATTTGTTTTTACTTCACATACCTTGTTATATACAGCCGTTGTTCATTTGAAATATTCGTTCATTTGTTAAATGAGCAAACAGATGCTTTCTCATTAAATGATAGATCAATGAATTCTTGCTCATTTGATAAATGTTCAAAGAATTTCTTGCTCATTTGATAAATGAGTAAAGAAATGTTTGTTCATTTCACAAATGAGCAACTATTTTTGCTCATTTAAGAAATGAGCTTTTACCTTTTTGATTATTTGCTAAATGAGCAAGGAATTACTTGCTCATTTGATGATTGAGAAAAGATATGTTTGCTCATTTGGCCCGAGGAGAGCTGATTTTGGATTGGGAGATGAAACAGGAGTGCAATTGTTCCAAGTTCATGTAATAGCTAATTTGCTCACTTGCCAAATGAGCAAATAATTATTTGCTCATTTGACAAAATGAGTAGTTAACTATTTGCTCATTTGATAAATGAGCAAGGAATTATTGCTCATTTGAGAAATGAACAAATATTTAGTCACTCATTTGAATATATGTTCTATTTTCAATTCAACAATATTACAAAGCATTAAACTATGATTGGTACAAAATTAATAATATATTATTAAATATAAAAATTCAACAAAATCTTATATGTATATTAAAGTACCATTACACTTTTTTTGACAATTTCTAATATCATGATGACTCAATTCACCACAACCTCTACATAATCTCTTCTTTTTTTGGTTTTGTTCTACAGCCTTTTCTTTTTCTCCCTTAAGCCTTTTTGCACTTCTACCTCTTGTTTCAACATTTGACACATCAATCTTAGTCGCTTTCTTTTTTGAAGTCTCTTCATTTGATACATGAACTCCAATCCCTTTATTCTTTGAAACTTTTGGAGGTTTGACAATTATTTCAGGTGGCACACTAGCTCCAATCAATAGCTCAATGTCTTGCTCTTTGTTTTTTGCACTTCCAGCTGTTGTTTCATTATTTCTTGCAATCCTCTTTGCTTCCAAATCCTTTCTTATTCCTTGAAGATTTATCACAAGGTCTTGAATATCTTCATCTTTTCCTTCTGCCAAACTTACACAAGTGTGTATCTCTGACCATAAATCATTTAACAATTTTTTCTTGTCTATTATATTAGCACATTGCTCCAACAGGTTTCCTCCCAAGTCAAAAATTGGTTTCTTTAATGCCATAGTAGTCCACATGTGTAGCATATACTGCTCGGGAATGGTTTCAAACCTTTTTGCTTTCCAAACCCAAATCATATGTCTACATGGAATTCCTTGCCTATAAAATAGCTTGCAAGAACATGTGGTGTCATAGTTAGTTGGATTAAACACAACATCAAATGTTCTAGTCCAATTTCCTTCACTTATTGTTGCAACTTCCAATTCATTTTCTTTCTTCAATTCATCAACACCACAAGAAAAAAAAGCAATTTCAACCTCGTATTGAAATTCATAAAAGACAGAGTTAGTATATAAATGTGAGGCATGCTTTTCTATCCCTAGTGGTTTTTTGCACTCAGGATATTTGTGCTTTGAATCATTATCATTCTGACCTTGAGTGTGTCTCTGGGCATCAATTGCAGCTTCATATCTCAAGTAAAACTCAACAAGTGACACATGAGGATTGATAAAGGAGCAGAAAAAGTTGTTTTCACTTTCGGATCTTGATGTTGTATGCATTATTCCTCCAAGGAACACATCTCTGTAATAGGCCGAAAACCACTTGTCTCTTATCTTGTACATATACCTAACCACTCATGTTGTTCCAAGTGGTATTCAATCATCACCTTGTTCCACCTTTCTTCAAACTCAGCGGGTTCAATTTCAAGGTGTCAAACGCAAGCACATAATTTTTTTAGGAAATCAGTTTCTTCTTGCATGATTGATTTCTCCACCTTATCTGGTAACTTTTTCATTATGTGCCACATACAGAACCGATGTTCAGTCTTCTTAAACACACTTCTAACAGCAATTTTCATTGCTGGATCCTGATCTGTGATCATACAATTAGGTTCATTCCCACCCATTGCCTTGAGGAATGATCTGAACAGCCATTCAAATGACACGATATCTCTTCCTTTGCTATGAAACCAGCAGCAAAATTAATGCAATTTTTATGATGGTCAACCCCTGTAAATGGAGTAAACACCATGTTGTACCTGTTTACACATACAAAATAAAGTTTAAATGAGCAAATAATTTAATACTCATTTGAAAAATTATCAAATAATCGATTGCTCATTTGTCAAATGAGAAAATAACTCAATGCTTATTTGTGAAATAAGCAAACAATTCTTTGCTCTTTTGTCAAATGTGCAAATAATTGAATGCTCATTTGTCATATGAGCAAATAACTGAATGCTCATTTGTGAAAAGAGCAAACAATTCAATGCTCATTTGTCAAATGAGCAAATAATTCAATGCTCATTTGTCAAATGAACATGCAATTCAATGCCCATATACATACTCCTATCAAAGAATATTAGACTTATGGGGATATTCAATTTTCACATAGAAGTAATGAGCAATTAACATAGCTAGTAATAACACATAAATGAATTACCTATTGGTTTGGTATGTGGTATCAAAGGATACCATATCACCAAATAGAGCATAACTCTTTTTACAAAGGGGGTCTGCCCACAATGCTCTACAAAGGCAATAATCTTCATCCATCTCAAAATCAAAGAAAAAAGCGCTCCACATTAGCTTTTTGTTGGTAAAGTTATCCACGAACATTTGAGCATCGCTTCCTTGAATGTATGCTTTTAAATCTTTATGAAAATTTTTAAAATCTTCCTTAGATGCACCAATGTTTTCATATCCTCCAACAATTTCCTTCATCATTCGAAAAGTTGTAACGGGACCAATATTCACCTATTTAAAGAACAAAACAGTTTGTCACATGAGCAAATAATTCAATGCTCATTTTTAAAATGAGCAAACAATTCAATTCTCATTTGTCAAATGAGAAAAAAATTATTTGCCCATTTGTCAAATGAGCAAACAACTTTTATTAGAACATACAGAGAATTCATGAAAAATAAGAGAATTTGAAACATAAGAGAATTCATGAAACAATTCAATGCTCATTTGGCAAATGAGCAAAAAATTATTTGCTCATTTGACAAATGAGCAAACAACTTTTATTAGAACATACATAGAATTCATGAAACATAAGAGAATTTGAAAGTGTTACCTTAGAATTATTCACAATTATTTTTTTGTGTAAAATGTTCATTTTCCTTCCTTCTTTTTGGAATAGATTGCAGCTAGGTGTATAAAGTGCATGAGTATGTCCCTCATGAAATTTTGTCACTATGAATGTGTTATCATCACAATGCTTTAGGACAATATGTGCCTTGCACCCAACACGAGTAACGAGTCTCTTCCTTTTGATTGAAGATTTTTCTTCATTGTTTTCCCCTTCCTTGTTATTTAAATCTTTTTCTACAGTAGTCTTTCTTTTCTCTTTGTATCCTTCCTTATTGCACAAGATATACTGATATTTCAATTCTTTGCTTCTTCTTTGTCTTTTAGTTGTAGACTTCCTTGTATTGAAACCAGAAGCAAATGCATAGCCTTTATAAAATTCAAGGCCCTCTTCAAGATTATTAAACTTCATCCCTATAGCTGGTTTCAACTCATTGGGGCATATTGGATGCCATTCTTTTGTTCCTCCAGGAGTGATCAAAGGTGCTACTTTAGGAGAAACTACTATTGTAGGTGTAGTTGGCACATTTGTGATGGTACTTGATTGACTCTCAACTTGTTCGTTGTTGCTCATCATTTGTGAATATGCACCTCCTTAAACACACTTAAACACACATACACACACATACACTCTCAATAATTAGAACAAAAATCAGATTCTTAAACAAACTTACACACACACAGACATAGATACACACTTACACACACACACACATACACACACACACACACAATAATTTCATAATCTATAATTAGAAATGAAATCAGTTTCTGAAATCAGAATTGCAAGCAGAAAGAGGAGGGGGCAGGGGGGATAGGTTTGCTCATTTGTCAAATGAACATGCAATTCAATGCCCACATATATAAACTCTTACACTCAATCACACTCACACTCACACTCACACACAGACACACTGTTACACTCACTCACACACACACACACACACACACATACATACACAATTCTGTATACTTGGTGTTTCTACCCGAAACACTGAGTACTTATAGATCCTTGAATCACTTATGAATGTCATTAATATTTTCTCATTTTAATTGTAGTTACCTCATTTTAAATGTTCTATTATATATATTTAGGTTTGCTCATTTTAATTTATTTGCTCATTTTGAATTTGATTGAAAATAAGAACATAATAACAACATTCAATTGAAAATAAAAACCTACTAACAACATAAATAATTGATTCAATCACTATCAAGTTTAATCTGATATTATTAAAATCTCTATCAAATTAATCAAACCTAAATAATTGATTCAATTCAATCAAATAATTGATGTAATTAAACATTCAATTCGATTAATGTAATTCGAAAATTAACATGTAAGTCAATTTGAAAATTAACATGCAATTCCAAATTTTTCAGAGATGTAAAATCAAAATATTTTGAACATTCAGATTAACATGCAATTCAAAATTAAAATTACGAACAAACCTGAATGATGGATGAAATTGCGACCGTTGAAATTTGCAAAAAGAAACCGTTGAAAATTGCAGAAAGAAACCGTTGAAATTTGTCGAAAGAAGAGCATACTTAGTGAATCACCATTGATAAGTTAATCGCCATTGATGAGCTTTGATTTGCAGACAGAATAGAGGAGAGAGATAAATTAGATGCTGAAAGTTAGTTTGTTAGGCAGGCTTATAATCTCAGCGGTTGGATTTCATCTAATCTAGCGGCTGAGATTTGTTCTCACATAAGGTGTGGGTTCTCACATAAAGGGTGGTTTCGACGGATCCCGACCATATATATATATATATATATATATATATATATATATATATATATATGTATATATATATACAAAGTAGATTTTCATAACCTCAACTAATTATTCAAAAAAAAATAATAATCTCAACTAAAGTTTAACGACAATAAATTTTATAAAAAAAAAATTATAACTCAGTATTTAAAAGTATGAAATATATTTCTTCAAAAAAAAAAGTACGAAATGTATTGTTTCCAAAAAAAAAAAAAGGTATGATAGTAGTATATATGTGAAAGAAAATAATTAAATATGTAATAGTTATTATGGGCAATGTGATATTTAAAGAAGTTTGTTTTAGATTTTGTAGAAATCAATAGTCAAAATTTAGATACAAATATAAAAATAAGGTTTTTTTTAGTAAGTTGTTTTGGATGGAAAACTTTTATAATATATTGCCAATTGTCCTTTCAGATTCACCTTTAGTATAATGTAATTGATGTATTAAATATTCACCAAAAAAAAAAGTTTAAAAAGGAAAGGGGGTTTTGGAGGGAAAAAACAACACTAGGATGTAACACGTGTCACTCTCGGTGTCTATTTTCGTATTAATATACAAAGGTTGACTTATTTTGAGCTAACAGTGTAAAGGTTGGCTTATTCTTGACAAATTTTTTCATTTAATTATGGATTATTTATCACCATAAAAATGTCACAAATTTGATTATAAAAAAATAAATTATTATAACACCGCAAAACAAAAAAAAAATCCAACAAATTGGATATTACCACCTCTTAACAGATGTCATCCAAAAAACACATTAGTGGGTCCTACACAGTACATGTGTCAATTATGTATTGATAAAAAAATCCTAGCACCTAAACCAGCCACCACCACCATTGACAGGCGGCAGCGCCGACATCCTCGCCAAACCTACCTAACTGCCGAAACACCTCATTCAAGGTCGAAGCAACCAATATCCCTCAACAAACCCCAAAAACAAACCCCAAACGCAACCAGTGTTGAAGGTGGGAATTTCTAGGTAAATTAATGTTTGGGGAGAGAGTCTCGGTCGTTGTTGGTGTTAGAGGAGGAGGTTTTGGTCGTTGTTGGTGTTAGGGAAGGAGATTTCAGGCAGTGTCGGTAATAAGGGGGTTTCAGTTGTTGTTGGTGTTAAGGAGAGGGGTTTCGGGATGTAAATCTGGGTTTAGGGGTGTTCTAGTGTTAGGAGAGGGATAGGTGGTAGTTTCGACAGTGTTACTAGCGGCATGGTGGCTTCTTGCCAGCGGGTTGTATGACTGATGCTGGCAGTGGTGGTTGGTTTAAGAGTTAGGGGTGGTGGCTGGGTTTGGGTTTAATTTTTTTTTTTTTTAACCAATAGGTAAGTGACAGGTGTACATTGTGGGGCCCACTCATAGTTTTTAGGATGGCATTAGTGAAGTGGTGGTGAAATCCAATTTTTGGGTTTTCTTTGTGGTATAAAAGTTTTAAATTTTGTGGTGTTATTTTGCAAAAAAAGCCTTTAATTTTTTTGTTTTTAAAAAGTCGTGTGTCAAGACCTGATTCGTGTAATATTAAAAAAATTCTCAGCCACTCCCTCCCCTACCCCGTGAAACCATAAGCCAACCCCAGCCCATAGAAAATCAGTCGGCCGGCCACCTCCCACCTCCTTAATTAATAACCCCCTGAAAACGGTCGGCCGTCCCTTCCACCTTCGAAACTCGCCTTCCGACCTTCTCAATCCCGGCAAAAAACACAGTTGCACACAAATCAATACATTGTTTGATACACTAAACGAGACACTTACGTTAATTTTTTGCTAATTTGGAGCTTAATTTAGATACTTATGGGCTAAAATGATCCCTAAAATCTTAACGGGACTTTTTTTTTTGGCACAAATCGAAGAAAATAAAATTGGCTACCAATTAACAGGTTAGAAGTCCTTTTGGGATGCAATTTGCAATTTATTTTTTAAAAAGCTATAAATTGCAATTTATTTTTTAAATGACTCCAATCTGTAATACATAACTTTAAATTAATAAATGACTGCGATTGTAAAAAAATTTCAATAGAATTTAGAGAAAGATGCTTTTACCCTTTACTGACTATGTGAAAGTACGATCTTAATTAACCCCATGATATACATTCCATGTCTCACAATATGAGAAACTTGGAATTACCCCCATCACCTTAAAGTAATAAACAAAATTCGTTTATCAAATGCAAAATTGTAAACGAATTATCAAAATTATCCAATCAACATGACACTTATGTAATCATATCAACAATTGTGAGCCCAATTTTAATACAAAGTTGTTTATTTATTTATTTATAATTTTGATTATTAAGGCGATAAACTTGTATTTTTCTTTTAAAAATTACTAGTAATTTAATTTCAACAACTTTTTATTAAGATGTTTACATTCAATTTTAGAAAAGATTCTTGATTATTCAACTCAGCATTGCCAACTCAAAAATCACTTTTAGTTTGACAGTTGAGTACTAAAGGTGATGATGAATAAAATCAAGAATACTGTATTGTAAACATAAACTTAAGTTTCATACTCATTGATCATTGAATATATATTGTAAACAAATGTAGGCAATCTTGTTAAATATATTGTAATCTTGAAAAAATATGTTGGTTAATCATTCTGATTGATTGTATATACTTTATACGCATAACCAAAGGTTATAAAATAGGAATGTGTTTTATTCATGATAACAATATGTTTGATTTAAAAAATTCGACATAAGTAGCTCATGCTCTTGCTCTTGTATGACCTTATATGAAGGTTGCATTCCAATGATACGGCCTATGACCCTTTGTCACTTATATGACTGCAAGCAGGATAAGTTGGTTTCTCATACGTTCCGACTTCATGGTGTTTGGCCTATAAATGCCAATGTGCATACACTTGATCATATTCGACAATTACGAGTATGTGACCATTTTAAATGTTTTATGAAGCCTATAATTGTAATTTTTGACGATATATTTCCTTTTTTTTTTAATATTTTTGTTATCTATACCAATCTATTAAAAGACATTTCTAAAAACGTCGATGTGCCACGTAGCTCCTATTTTGTTACGCCATGTCATCTTCCCCCACATCATCACTCAAACAATGCCACATCACCCAAGCAACTAACATTAGTCCATATAAAAACATAAAGATAAGAAGGTTCGAAACCCTCAACCTCTTATAACACATATGACTATTTAACCATCTAAGTCAATATCAACTATGTTATTTGTATGGAAAAAAATTGATATAAGTGCAAACCACAAGGTTTAACTAAAAAATAATAATAATAAAATTATATTAAAAGAATAATTCAATTTTGGTTTGACAATGACAATTGCAGTTTTGAAAACCTTTTAAAAAAACTATCGATTGTACGTCTGTAACGGTAGCAACTCGGGGCATCGCCCGGGGTCACTCTCTAATGTCCACTATTATGTATTAAATCTTTACCTTCAAGTAATAATGGTTAACGAATAATATCTAATAATTATACTCCCTCGATTCATTTCGTAATAATCGCAACACTTTGACTTTTGCACAATCTATATGCTTACGTTGACTCTACTTTTTATCAATATATGAAAAACATATATTATTGTCATGTAAAATATTAATGGTCAAAGTTGTGTATTGACATGTGTGTAGGTCAAAGTGTTATAATTATTATGTGGAGGGGTGGGATAATATAAAAGATCTTACATTGTAATACGTGGACAAACTTTTCTAGGAATAGCACGGAATGTACTCTAATATGTCGGTTCATGAATAATTCGAAAGTTCCCTAATCTCTTCAAAACTATATACTCTAGCATTTTGAAAGTTTTGACAATTAATGGTATGCATTTGCTGCTCCATTGTTCTGGTTATGGTTTTTGGTGTAGGGATACGTCCAGAGATACATCCGCCTATTACCACAACTAACAAGGACTAAAGTGTAACTACAGTAGAAGGTTTTTATAATGCCATAGCCAGTTTTTATTTTTTTATTTTACATATATATATATATATATATATATAGATGGGAGTCGACAAACTATAATACATATTATTAATATTATTGTACATATATTGTACACATATTATTGTACATGGAACCTCCGTTCTTGAAAATTTGAACATCTTCAACCATTATTAATTTACTATCTTTGACTATATATCAGTGAAAAGTATAAAAAGTTGATATTGGAAAAATTTACAAGGAAATCTACTAAATCTCACATGCTAATTTATTTCTATTGTATAATCCATTAAATGTGGTCAAACTTATTTATTTTGACCACATGAATTGTAAGTGAGTTGAAATTTCATAAAGATAGCTAGTATATTATTTTTGTACATATATTGTTCCTCATATTATTTATGAATTTAAAGTTTGAATTTATTTACAATATTATATCAATCTATATAAAACTATATACTCCGTACTAGGTTTTCAAACAAAAATATATTCCGTACTATACTAAAGTAATCCTCAAAACTATCCCTATAATACACTTATCGCCTCATATATAAAAAAAATTGCAATAAATTATGTGTAAAGGCGAGTGTACGTTAATTTTATGGTAAGATGATCAATGAGTAACTTTAACGATTTTTGTGGTAACTTTAATCCCTTAAAGGGTAAGTTTTAATTTGTCATTGATTTGAATTTTTTTTTTTTTTTAATGTGTAATTTCTTATAGATTCATGATTACATATTATAAAGGCTAATATGATTAATTTAATACTATATTATAAGTCTTTTGTAAGATAAGTTTATGTGTATTTTTGTATAAAGGTAATTTTAAATACTTTAAATACTTATAATATAACTTTAACCAGTCTTTCAATAAGTTAACATACACCCAACTTTTTGGAAAATTAAAAGCGCTAAATTGTATCTAATTGTTATTTTTAATATAAAGATTAGATACAACCATTTGTGACTAATGGGTGATTGTTGAAGTCACTTGTTAGTTGGGATATACATGGGCAAAAATTTTCTGTCGACAAAGGCCTCTTTATCCTCAAGTCTATGAGAGCAGCAAGTGTTTAGTCCATTATGAGGAGGATAAAAGGAAGCAACTTAGTGTAATTGACCCAGTTCAAGAAGATCTAGAACAGGAGACTATTGATTTTCCTCGTTATATTGATAGAACAGTGTGTTATGTTGAGATTTTTGTTTCACCTTTCGGAACAACAGAATTTGGTGAGGACAAAGAAAACCAAGAAATCGAGCCGGATAACGAAGAGTACAAGTACGTAGGTGCCTAACAGTCAGTTATTTATGACTTGTCATTTTTATTCTAAAATCTTTTGTTATATTGCTAAGACTAGGGAGTTGATGTGTGTATTGTAGTCTGAATCTTGCAGCTACCTGTAAGTATATAGTTTTCAGTTGCTTTTCATAATAAACTTGTGCCTAGTATTTGATTGTTTTTCTACAGCGAAGATGATCTAGCTGCGCGCTTTGTGTTTTATTCAAACTATGAAAGTCTTTATTAACTCACTCGTATTGCAGGCATCAGAATGTCTTTATAATCTCACTCGTATTGCAGGCATCAGAATTTTTTTAAAAACAAATACTATCTGACAAGAGCTTTACATAAATTGAACACAAGTATAAGAGTAGTAAATTTCACTTTTGAGTAAAAATAATAAACTAAACAAGATTCACTAATAAACATGTCAAAGCCTGAAAGGACCTACAGATCTGGCAATCCATCACTGAAGTTTGAGAATTGAGCATCAGTGTGTTGCTAAAGGATTGCATATGATCAAAGCTTATGTGAAAACTTGCCTTATTGAAACCAATGAAACTGAATTCTGTAGTGGTGCAAAATTTCATCAATCTTTCTTCATTGCTAAAATAAAAATGTATCTACTAACTACTATGTGTTGAAACAATAGGAAGATCCAAAGTTTGCAAAAATCTGAGGCTAATTTCTCAAGGAGATAGATATTATTTTTGTGACAAACAAAGTACAGTATGTGATAGGTATTATCAAAGCAGAGACTGAGTTGACAAATTCAACTGACAGTACTTTCTGTAAAACTATTCACTGATGGATATGGAGGAAATGTGCTGGATGTTGGGCAAATCCTCCCCATTTGGATTTCGACATCTACTGGATAGATGCTTTGAACAACGCTTTATTTCAAGTCTCTGAAGAGAGGTGAGCTTTTGCATTACACTGGGAAGTGATTTGAGATTATAACAACCACTGAGGCTCAGGGATTGAAGAGATGATAGACAGCTTATCCATTCTGGTATGGCATTCAAAGTCATACAACCATCAATTTTCAGATGTCGGAGGCTGGTCAAGTACTGCAATCCCTTGGGTAAAATTTCCACTCGAACTGTCTCAATTAATTCCAGTAAATGGAGAGTCTGAGCAAGGGGTCTCCAAGGCAAACCATCATTATCCTCTCATTCCTCTGTAGAGGAGAAGACCATTGGGGTGACATGAATTGATAGTGACTCCAAACCAGTGAGATACTCCAAACCGCCTGAAAGACTTCTAAGTTTGAAGCAACAAGAAATCGCAAGTTTTCGCAGAGAAGAACATCTCTTTAATAGCTCTCCTACCTCTGATAAACACTCCAGCTCCAAAGCATGTCTAATGCACATGCTAGTAAGACATTCCACAGGAATTGTATTAAAATAAAGAATGTCATCAAAAGCTACATGCCTCAATTTCGAGAGTGAAGTTCCAGTATCTGACATTGTAGAATTTGACAAGGAAGAAACAAACCCTACATCTTCCTGACCCATTCTTATACGCGGAAACTTATTCAAACTTATCAAAGAAAGTTGTTCCAAGATTGTACAGGGAGGAAATGATGTCAAGTTACGGCAATTATCAATGACCAATACAGAAAGAAGTGGAAATGATGGTTTCAAGCTCTTGCTGCTATCAATGACATGGTCAGCAATTAACTCCTCCTCTCTCCACCATCCTTTCAACTTTGGTAGATCCCTGATTTCTAGAAATTTGAGGGAACAGAAGTTCAATTCTGCTGCATTACCATTAGTGCTGCTCATATCCTCTATGAACTCCAAATTACGCAGGCCAATAAGTTACAGAGATTTTAAAAGATGCAAATTGCTCAGTGATGGGAGAATCTGCAAATTATGGATAAATTCTAAATTGATCTTGACTATATTTGGAAAAAATGTTGTCCACTGTCTTCCCCAAAATGGAATGTTCATACCCTGAAACCCTGACAATTTTAGGCTCTTGAGATTAGGATGTGGCTGCAGGTTTTTCAGCACAGATTCATGACAATTAGCAACAGGTCCATAATCTTCTTCTGGTAAATGACATCCCTCAAAAGTTATTGATACCCCTTTGAAATGTTCCATGCTTTTCAAATATCCCACTTCACTATCATTCTCCTTGACATCTGAGCCACTTGCATAAATGGAGATATCAATGTTACCTTTTAAATTCTTGAGAGCCTTAAGATCTTCCAGCTGGCCAACACATTGCTTTCCATATATATCTTCATTCCCCACTACAAAATTAGAAAGTGCATGAAGACAAGTCAACTTATTCAAGCATGGAGGCATATGCAGCAATAAACTGCAGCCAAATATAAGCAAGTATCTAAGATTAACTAGTTTGTTGAAGTTTTTTGGCCAACTGCAGAACCAAAAGCAATTACTTAAATCTAAAGTTTGATAACTTCGTAACTGAATCAGGAAGTGCCTTGAGATTTCTATTGCCAGACAGATCAAGATATCTTAAATGCACCAGTTTACCTATTGAATCCGGCAAATATTTGATACCCAAGTCATGCAAATCCAATATCCTCAGACACCTCCAACTTGCTAATAATGTACTCACCTGTAATTGGTTATAGCCATCCCTAAGATATGATCGGATTTTAAGTTTAGAGAAACTCTTAGTACATGTGTTTCCAGCATGAAATATATGCCGTGTTGTATCTGCCAAGTTGCTTGTGATGGAGTTCGCTAAACATATTTCCTTTCCTGCTACATCTTGAGCAACATCATGCATCAAGTCATGGATTTTAAATGATTTGACGTCACCATATTCGTTCTTTATTACATCATGGAAGAAACATCTTCTCAACAAAATAGAAAAGTATTCCTCGCCAGCATCTTCTACGCTTTGTCCCTCATCAAAGGGCACAATGTACTGTTGTGCCATCCAAAGGCTTATCAACTTTCTTTTGCATATGACAAAGTTCTTGGGAAACAATGCACAATACCTAAAGCAAGTTTTCAATGGTGATTCAAGATTATGGTAACTTAGATTTAAAACTGACATAACCTCATTTTCACCTTTTCTAATCTTGGCTAGACCACACTTTTGAAATGAGCGCCACTTGCTGGTGTCTTGACCAAATAGAAGACTTCCGACCACCTTTATAGCCAGAGGAGCATTGTGACACTTTTCAATAATCTTCTCCCCAATCTCGACTAATTCAGAAGGGCAAATTAGGTTGTGCTCCATGCCAAATGCTGTCATCTCAAACAATCGCCAAGAATCCTCTTTGGACAAGCCTTTCAACTCATAAGTACTGTGCTCACTTCCTATAATATTTGCTGTCATTTTTGAGCGTGTAGTCACAACAACACTACTTCCCCTTCCACCTAGCATTAAGAACTTTCTCACATCAAGCCACTTGAAGCGATCTTCACTCCACACATCATCAAGAACAAGCAAGTATTTCTTACCCCCTAGCTGCTCTTGTAGTTCACTTTGCAATGGATCCATTCCAAAGCCATCCTGCTTCTGGTACATAGCTGATTCTGATATCTTAGCAAGAATTGATTACACATCAAATTGTTCGCCATTTGATCGGAAACACAAACCCATTGCCTCAAGGGAAACTCATGTTTAACCCTTTCGCCATGATACACTAACTGGGCAAGAGTGGTTTTCCCCAATCCTCCAACTCCCACTATAGTGACAAAACCAACATCATCCTTAAAATCAGAATCCAACATGGGCATCAAAGCCTTCAGGTCATCCTCCCTCCCAATAACATCATTCACACAAACATAAGAACAACTTTCCACTCTTCTCACAACTGGTTGGTGGGAGTTGACAGCTAAGCCAAATTTTCTATGATTATCAGCAAAAGCACCCAATTTTTTCTTGATTTTCTTAACCCGTCGAGACATTGCGTAAGCCACACTAAATTGGTTATTAGAAGAAAAGAAGCTACGCAACTCTTCAAGGAATTTACTTACATCATTTTGCTACTTTTGCTCAGCAAATGTAAGGATCTCATCAAATAAATCATCAGCATCATAAACAACCTCATTCAGCTTCTCAATCCAGTATTGCTCTTCGTTGGTAAACACTTGCTTGGCATCCGCATCAAGGAGCACTTTTGTGATGGTGGAAACCGTTTTTTTGAGCTCTTCCAATTCAGATTTATAACCCCAAATGGAGAAAATCTCCTTGAGGATTGAACATTCCAGTGCTGCAAATAAAGTCTGAGTAACAGTGAGTATAGCTCCAACATCAGCCATTTGCGCACCAAGTTCTAAAGATGAACAGGTGGATTCAGAGGAAAAAAGCTGTGATTTTAGGGAAGATGAAATACTTAAAACTGTGGATATCTGTGACTTTGGTGGCTAATTAGAATGATAGGAATGGTGACCTGAAGGAGTGAAGGGTCAACCCTAAACAGTCAAAAAATAATACGTAGTATATACTTCCTCCATTTCTATTTAATTGACGCGTTTGATTTAGGCACATATATTATGGAGATGAGAGAAAGTGAGAGGGCATGAAAAAGCAAGTGGGGTAGCTTGTAAATAAAAGGTAAGAAATTTACCCCAAAAGAAAACGTGTCAACTAAAAAAAAACTTCCTAAAAAGAAATATGTGTCAACTAAAAAGAAACGGAGGTAGTAATAAGCTTCATTACCTAACCCATGTTACTTAGTTTTATCTTTAATATTAATTAATTCATGACATCAAAGGTAGGGCACCCCCATAGACTTTAACAAATAAAAAAATATTCACCATAGGCATGTGATGAATCTGCCACTACATGGTCTACTAAGAGAAAATTTCAACTTTAACTCTAATTGAGACCAACCCACACATATACACATAATATTATTAAGAATAAACGGGCGTGATTATGGGACGACTTAAAATAGTTATGTATTACTATATACTTCCTTCATACCGTTTGACTTTTACACTATTCACACAACACACTTTGACTCGCTTTTGTGGTTTATAGATACGTTAAAACATATTCACGTGGGATCTTATTTGAATCGTTTCAATGTATATTTTATTAAATCCACTTTTACAATTTTACAATGTTGATGATTAAGATATTAATCGTTAAAAACATGCGTTAAAACATAATAGAAAGGTGTCAACTAAAAAAAACAAAAAAAAGTATTATTTATGGAAGGGAAGACTAGACTATTTTACTTAAGCTGGCAACTATTGTAAGTATGGAAAGTGATGAACTAGGTTCAAAAAGTCCAAAAAAGGTCCTAGTAAGATTAGGTCCAACCGATGTATTTTTGTATCAGATATCATCAATGTGTGGCATCTATGTCCGCGGGTATCTACTCATTTACATCAGATAAAGGCGAAAAGGAAAAGGTTTTCTGTAAAATTTTGGAATGAAAATCATGAAAAGCTAGCAAATCTATACCTTTAAACAATTAACGAGACCCCATTAACAAAATTTAGACCCACCACTAGTTGAATTTAATCAACCCTACAGGATATGGTTCCCGCGCCTCCACTTAACTTATGTAGCTGATCTTCTTGAGGGTATCAGATCTTATCTGAATATATTGGGGTTCAATGTTGGGATTGAAGCTCTTATATAATGCTTAACCACTGTAATAATGATGCAGTCACAGATCAACAAAATAAATTGACCTAAAATTTTCTTTAGGACAGGCTATGTAGACTGTAAAGACAATAAAAGGAATAAAGGGGGAAAAGAAAATATAAGAAAAGGCAACCAGTAAAATGAAGGTACAAATGAAACATACTCCAGTTGAGCACTAAAGCCCGACCCAGATTTATTTGGTTCAAATTTTAAAATTGCATTAATTAACCATAAGAGGAAAAGTAAGGGCCTGTTTACTTCACCTTATGTTTTATCTGAGCTAAACTTATTTTTTTCTGTTATCTGGACTTATTTTCTGATCTAATTGTCTCATTTGACTCAACTTTAACCTTACTATATGTACGCTAATTTATAGGAATAAAAAATATCAAGGGGATCTTGTTAGATTCGTAATAATGTGTACTTTGTTAATATGTAATTTTCATAATTTTTCATGATAAAGTTAAAGATATTTAGCGTTAGAAAACAACACATAAAACGATCTAATATGATATGAACTTAATTTTTCTGATTTGATCTAAACTTTTTTTTTTGTCTGATTTGAAGTGAAAATTTGGTGAACAAAATATGCCATAACTCTTTCGGGAACAATACACTTACATTGAGGACAAAGGTTATGCTTGAAATTTTAGAGATTGATGGATTTGATCACCCCAACAAAAAAAATACGTAGTATATGCAAAGCTTCAGCATAAGCATCATGGAGTTTATGTACATCTTCTCTAAAATGATCATTAAATGAACTCAGGGTTACCATGATAATATCACCTGAAATAACAAAAGCCGGCTTTCCAATTAGCACTTGTAAATGGTTATTAATTCAAAGGATTAAGAAAGAGACCCCTACATAATGCTGTAAAATCCAAAATGCATAAAAACGATGCGATGCTTATCAAAGGTAAACGTGAAAAAGTATGACAGTTGAACCTTCACCTTAAACTCTCACACCAGGCAAATTATTATTCACACCTGACACCAAGGAACACCCTTGCTAATTACATTGTGGAAACAATTTAAGAGGAAATAATAGTGCTATTACCAAGTGCACCTAAACAATGCTGCTCAACCAAGGATTTATAATGTTCATTTATAGAAACAAAGTATAAACATATCAAGTGTAAGCAGTTCTTAAAGATCAATTATAAGCCCCCCCACCCCCCTTTCCTAAAAATTATGCTCAAAATATCGATTGAAGATATAAAACCGAGCAATGAAAAGACTAAGAAAAGAAGCCAAGCAATGAAGGATAAAAATCAGAATTAACTCAAGCTTGAACAACTGTTTTGAGTCAGCTAACTTGAAAAGGCTTAAATGTAGATGTCATGGTACTTGACCTGACTCAACTGAAGACCATCCTACTAAAATATGTCCCAAATATGACTTGACACAATAAAATGCAACTATCCTTTCCCCATCACTTGCCTAAAAATAGATAAAATATTCATAACTCACAAAATATACAAATTTCTGGGAAGTATGGAGTAGAAAACTATGGTGAATTGATTAATAAAAAATAACATTAGGTAGTACTTACAAAATAGAGAAAGTTGCTTATCTATATCACCCTAGGTATATAGACTTTACACATTAGTCCAATAATTTCTGCATCCCAAATAAGTCTCTGTGAGTTCACACTACTTTTTTTATAGTCTTAAATTATTTCTTAGTTTTTTCTCTCCAATCATCTTTTTTCTTCACCAACCCATACTTTCTCTTCATTTTGCTCACTGTATCCGTAATTCTTAATTTTTGTACCAAAATCAAGTGTGCAAGATATGGATAAAACTTCCCAACATCTTTTGAAAAGGCTTACCATCGAGCACTAAGGCAAAAGGCGACTTAGAAGTCAGATAGACCGGACAAACATTCACTGAATAGTCTTCATGATTTCATGACAGAATGCATGAATACTTTTGAAGTAACAGACTTCACTTTTGGAACAAAAATACTTGCAATCAGAACAATTGAAAATATATATAAATGACAAGAAGCAAGCATTAGCATACCCACGCAAAGCAGATTAAAAGAAAGACATTAAAGCTTATATATAATATAATACCACATTCTTTGGCATATAGACATGTTTAGAAAAGAAAATGATAAGAAATCAAGTTACCTAAGAAAATTCTCAAACTTTTAGTTTCAGTTAATATCAGGGCCTATAACAAGTTAAAGACATTACTTCTTTTTGTTCATCCCTTGAACTCAGTTCACATGCTCAAAATATCACTTGTTACACATAGGACATAGCTTACATATAGCATTCTGCTTTCCAAACTATCCAATAGAAACTAAGAAATGCAACCATTAACAGCATGGCAAAAATATACTGGAGTGTTCTCAATCAAATCATAGCACCTTGAAATCAGAATCCCACAACAAGAATTGATCATTAACTTCACATTTTCCTGATAGAATCCACAAATGTTCCTGAAATAACAGACTTCAGCTTTCTCAGAAACGCATTTTCAGAACTACAAGTGACAGATGTCTTTGAGGCTATAAGAACAAAATTCTCTCCGTTCCCACAATCTATTTCATGCAAATCCACAAACACTTCTTGCAATTCATGTATCAGCATATCATAGAATGACCCATTTGGAGGAATTACATTCATAACTAGAATTCCATGCTCAGAAAGAGATGTTTTGGCCGCTAAAAGTACATCTTTTTGCAAAAACTCCAATGCAGGGGCACTGATACCCATTTTAGAATCACTAGAATCCAGATCAACCATGATAACAAGAAATTTAGGGCCAAATAACTCAAAATAATTCTTACTATATTCCTCTCCTACGCTATTGGCAACCAAAGGACTTGATCCATTATCACAGTCAAACAATGCTACCTTCTTTAATATTTCGATCCCGTCTCCTAAACAAAGCTGAATACCATTACCACATTGTAGCCCAAAATATTGCTTTGCGATCCTCAAAACCACTTCATCCATCTCAATACCAACAACCTCAAATCCTAATTGCAAGGATAGGAAACTAAGCAATGCCCCACCTCCAACACCAATGCAAAGCCCTTTTGGCCTAACCTTAGATTCAATACACTCCTGTAAATACCCACTGATCAAGGACAGACCGGCCACCATCGGTGCCAAGTAAGGATGCACCAACACCCCTAAATCCGGACAAAACTCCGCCTCTTCAATACATAAAGAATTCAATCCAGTATCATCAACTCCATTATTTGGCACAACACTGATTTCAGTCTGTATCAAATTGGGCATTCTCTTAAACCTCAACCTTCTCCTAAATTCCCTCCTAGAACCCTCAATTTCGACATCTTCAACCAGAATTTCCCCAACACAAGACCCAGTGCAGCTCTCTAATACAACACTACTAATTACACTATCCTCATAACTCAAAAAGGGTACTTCAACATTTCCCAATTGAGCAATTTCCTTTGGTAATAAAGCCATCAACAAAGGGTATAAACTTCTCTCCAATTTCTCCCTATAAATTGGGCAATTTTCAATTGATCTTTTATACAAATTACCAACATTAATATCACCATTAGAAGCATTACCAATTAAAATTAACCTGGAGATTCCAGGAGAAGCCAATAAAAGCTGGAGATGCCCAGATTCAGTGGCGAAAATCCAATCATTTTCACGGTGTTTTGGGACTAACATAGCTGCAATTTGGGGGGGATTAATCGGTTGTAAAGGTGAATCAAGAACAGAAATTTGAAGGTTTTTGGTCTGAAAATAGTCAATTGGGCAAGAAAGAGAGTGAACGGGAAGAGTAAATGAAATATAGCGAGATTGGGTTAGAGAATCGAATGTACCTGGTTCCATGATTATGACAAAATTAGGCGAATCCCAGAACTTAATACGGATTAACTCAAATTTTGATGAAGAACAAACGAACAATTGCAATGACTCAATGAGAGATGCTATTGCAATGACTCAATGTACCATTCTCACACTACTCCTGGGTCTAAAACGTCATTAGGCTCCTTACACTACCAGAGGAAGTACTGGACGAAAGGGGGGAACGTCCAATTGTACCAGCGCAAAAATAAAATAATAATATGTGCAATTAAAAATAAAGGACAAACCAAAAAAAAAAAAACTCCCGTTTGGTTGGGAAAACGGGAACGGGGTGTGTTTTTGGGGGGAAATTTTCCGCCAAAATGCAGCTGAGATGCTGATGTCAGTTGTCCCCAAAATTGAAAAAAAAGGAAGAGAGAGAAAGCTAGCTAAAGTTCATTGTTTCAGCAAAAAATTCAAGAACAAACACCAATGAAGAACAAAATTCCAAATCTCAACTAAATTGATCTAATTTGGAAAACTCGAAAACGACATACCAAATCTGGTAAGCACACTTAAATTTTTTTTGGTCTTTTTGTTGTTAAATTAGTCTTTTTGTTAATTTAAGAGTTATTTATTAATGTATTATACTGAATTTCTAGGTTTTCTGAGTTGGATTTTCGGGAATTGTTTGCTAAACTCGACAATTATCATCAATTTCAGGTTCTATACTTTAAAATTAATTAGTGTTTTTGCTAGGGTTACTATATAGTATTATGTCAATAATTTCTAGGGTTTGTAGATAATAATATCATAATTTTTCAATTGTTTCGAGTATGAACCATGAAAATCTGAACTTAATTGTTTGGGTTTGGGTTTGGTTTTTGGAATAGTTCAAGTGAATAATTATTAGTTATGTGTTTAGATTTGGTTTGGTTTGGTCATTAGTTCATGTGACTAGTAATTAGTTATTAGTTCATGTGACTAATTATCAACAAATATAGTGCACATTTTCCAACCAATTAATTCATATATTAGTCAAAATATGAGTAAACATATAATCTGAACTTATTTGTTTTGCAACTATGTTAGTAGCTTTGATGGCACTAGGTGTTGCAATTTTGCATATAGTGTAGCAGCAATGGTGAATTGCAACACCATTTGATATTAAGTACTTCTACTTGATATAGTGAATTGCAACAATGCCCAAACAAAGCATCAACAACCTGTTAAACGTATCTATGTGCTTATTGTTTCAATTACATAGAACATATATGTATTGAATTTTGAGTTGTGGTCAACATGCTTGTTATTTCAATTACACACAACATGTTTGTATTGAATGTGCTTGTTATTTCAATCACATTTGATATTAAGTACTTCTACTTGATCACTTATGCTAATCGAATGTCTTATGATGCTGTTCTTTCTAATGGGGTTGTTCCTCTCCGGCCTTTTTGTTTTGTTTAGTAGCTACTTGTACTTGTTGATCAACAACTTTTGCTTATAATTAGGTGAATCAATTGTTTATGCATCCCCTTTCCCTTTGTGAAAAGATATTTTTTGATCACATATATTTATGATTTCATTATGTCTAGTATCACTAATTGAATTGCTAGCCCCACAAAACAAAAGACACATAATTTGTTCAAATCCTTAAAATCCTTACATGCCAATTAAACGACAACCTTAAAATCCCTAAATTGAACTCATGAGCTAATGGTGTAGGTACTTCAACCAAAGACCTAAATTTAACTAAACCGAGCGAATGAGCTAATTGTTTATGCATCCCTAAATTCTATGTGCTATTTATATATTGAATTTAAATTGGGGTCAACCTGCTTGTTATGTGCTTGTTATGTGCTTATAATATATTTATGTACTACTTTGTTTAGGATATGAGGGGTGCCGGTACAAGTGGTGCGATTTTGGACTGCAATGATGTTGTGGATTTGGATTCTGATTGTGAGGTTACGCCCCAAGGCAACAAAGAGGTATCAAATTCAACATTCTTGTGTGATGGAACGCAGAGTACGAGGTGCTATGATGTTGTTCTCTCTAATGGGGTTGTTCCCCCGCCCTTTGTGGGGATGATATTTGCTAGTTGGGGAGATATTGATACTTACTTCAGGAACTATGGAAGGCAACAAGGCTTTGGGATTCTTCGTGCATCTGGTTCCTACACCCAGAAGAAAGTTGTGTCTAATAGCCTAAGAGGTTACATGTGGAAGTGTGAATGCTATGGAAGCACTACTTATAGGCGCCGCATTAATGGGAAAAGGGTGGTTGCTGAAAGGGAAGGGCCTGTGAAGCGTAAGTCAAAGAAATGTGACTGCCTGTATATATGTACTGCTGCAAAATGAAATCTGGTGATTGGGTAGTAAAGGGGTTGGAATTACAACACAAGAATCATGTCCCTACACCTCAAAAGTCTCACTATATTGCTATGTATAGGAAGGAAGACATCAATGCTGCTGTGAGGAGAAAGCTCTTCACTGATGTTGGTTCTGGGTCAAAGGTCACCCAAGTCTTCAACTCACTAGCCAGTGAGAGGAATGGGGTTGAAAATGTGGCCTTTACTAAGAGAGATTTGCATAATGTTATCTCTCGGGAAAGAAGTGAAAAGATGAAGAATGGTGACTGGAATGCGTTGTTTGATTACTTCAACGCCATGAGTGCTGATAATCAGAACTTCTATCATATGCATAGGGTAGACAAATTCAATCAATTGTCCGATGTTATGTGGGTTGACGCAAGAAGTAGGGCTGCCTACGAGGAGTTTGGGGACGTGATTGTGTTTGACACTACATACTTAACAGATCAGTACGACCTGCCTTTTGCAAATTTTGTCGGTGTCAACCACCATGGACAATCCATTCTTCTAGGATGTGCCTTGTTTTCCCATGAGAATGCCGAAACATTTGAGTGGTTATTCAGAACTTGGTTAGGGTGTATGTCTAACAAGAAACCCTTGGCTATATTAACTGACCAAGATGCTGCAATGAGGAAAGCTCTCCGCAATGTTATGCCTTGTACACGTCACCGCTGGTGCTTATGGCACATACTTACCAAGTTCAGCCAGAAACTTGGTAAGTATGAGACTTATGAATTGTTTAAGGTGGAACTTCACAATGTCATTTATGACAGCCTCACTGATGATGAGTTTGAGAAGGAGTGGGCTGCTGCCATTGCAAAATATCAGCTCGAGGAAGATCCGTGGCTGGCAGGTTAGTATGTTTATATCTAAGTCTTATACATATATGTTTTCTGTTTAATTTAAATAGGTTACTTCATTTTATGAATTCATGGCTATTTGTTGTTTGAATTATGCTTTTTAATAGTTTTTATCGCAATTGTGCCAAGTTATGTCTAAAAGTGTTACAATTGTCTACATCTAACCTAATGGATCATCGATTGTTATTGGTTTGTGTATTTGCTCAATAGGTTTGTTGTTAATTAGGTTTGTGTATTTGCTCAATAGGTTTGTATGCCGAGAGGAAAATGTGGGCTCCTGCCTACATGAGACACATTTTTTGGGTAGGAATGAAGACCACTCAGCGTGTTGAGAGCATTAACTCTTTCTTTGATGGATTCCTCGACAAGCACACATGGTTGTATGAGTTTGGGCCGAAGTACATAGCAGCAATGGAGTCAAGAGCAAATGATGAGCAACAAGATGATGCTGTTTGTTTCGGGGTTTTCTGATGTCCTGCGGGAGAGTTACAATTCCGAGACTGGATCCGTGCGCCTGTACCTGCAAAACAAACGGAGACTCCTTGTGGTAGGAGCTCCGCCTCCGACGATCAAGTTAGTACTTGTTTGAGGAGTGATAAATGCGGAAAGTAAAGGTAGGAGATCTGGTTCCTCTAGGGGAGGAGTGATCAATGTGTTTTGGTTTTCTCTAGGTGAGAGTCATTAATTGATGAATCCCCTTTAATGAGGATTAATTAAGTATTTATAGTCTTGAGAAGCGTGCCAATCCTAGGTTTAGGTTAACCAGGGAAAATTGGGCTTCTCTCGGACTTTGGGCCTTGGTGGCCATTTTGCCTATTTGGCATATGGGAAGCCACGTGGCGTGGCCTGATTAGTCCATGTTGGACCTCTTAGGGTGACAAGTGGCGGACGCTGATTGGCCTACGTGGTGGACACGTGGCAGGTCCGGATTGGTCCATTTGTCATGGGTATCTTTTACCCTAAACATTTGCCCCTCGGAAGGAGTAATTTCTCTTTCAAGGAGGGATTGCTCCTTTCGAAAGTTAGACCCTCGAAGCTTTGCTAGGTCGGCATCTTGTCTAGTTCTAAGGGGAGATGGACTTGATTAACTTAGAAAATTTTGATACCTTGGGCGGTATGACATTTTCAAGGTTAATCAATCATAATAATGATTGCCGCCAAACTAGACAGATGCCGATTCTTTGCCCCACTATGCAGATAGCCCCTGATCAGGTGGACTGTCAACTATTGCACAAGGGGTAAGCATTTAGCATTATTCGGCCGTTGGCCTCTTTTGTTTGAGTAGTAGGGAAGCCAGGCGGCGGGGGCCGGATAGTCCCCTTGATTCGCCAATGTTTGTTGGCTATTAACCCAAGGAGTGGTTACCTAGTAGGAATAGGGGTTTGAGTGCCCCTGTTTGCCAAAAAACAGGCGGTCTACTCAAACCTTTTAGGTTCCATACCAAGTTTGAGGGAGTGCCTATGAGTTGACTTTGGTGTTACTCAGTCGCTGTCACTCCTGCTTGAGTAGTAAAGGTACCAGGCGGCGGAGGCCGGCTGAACCTTTTGATTCGCCAATGTTTGTTGGCTATTAACTCAAGAGGTACCCCTGCATTTATCCCAAGTAATACAGGGGGTCATCCGACTCAGATGTCAACTGCTACCACTGGTTTGGTTAGTGATAGAGTTATCCTTGTCTCAAAAACGGCTACGTGGTTGTCCTTGGGGACAGTCGTCTAGGTGTCGTGTACTTAGTTTATAGAGCAATGTTCCACCCAAAAGGGAGCTGCTCTCTGCGACGAATTTCATCCGGAGGGATGCCGCCGGACGCCTGCTATTATGTTGGGACAGGTCGTATTAGTTTAATTTTAAGGGAGGATCAGTCGGCCTGGCGCCTGGGCTGATCATCGGGCTTGTTGCCTTGGTTAGTTCTTGGCGAACGTAGGTTCTAAGTAAGAAGAGGGCAGCCGCTTGTTTAGGCACATGGTCGGCCTGACCCTAATCTTTTTTAGCTAAGTATAAGGGGGTGGTTGTCTGTTTTGGAAACAGTCGTCCCTCTTCTATGGAGAGTGGCCGACTGTATGTCTAGACGGCATGCCCCTCTGGTGGAGTAAAATAACCAATGGAGAGTAGCCGACCATAAAGGTACAGGCGGCATGCCCCTTTGAAGATAAAGAGTAAAATACTCAATGGAGAGTAGCCGATTGTAAAGGTACAGGCGGCATGCCCCTCTGAAGATAAGAGTAAAATACTCAATGGAGAGTAGCCGACTGTAAAGGTACAGGCGGCATGCCCCTCTGAAGATAAGAGTAAAATACTCAATGGAGAGTAGCCAACTGTAAAGGTACAAGTGGCATGCCCCTCTGAATCAGTATCAAGTATTGAAATCATTTCAAGTGTTAGAGCAGATGGATCACCTAGTTCCCTTCCATAAAGGATGGATGGTGTTATTAATGAGAGTCGGCTGCTTTCATAGCTACGAGACTTCATTGTATAGGGGGTCGGCTACTATTCATGCCGCTTTTCTTGCCTGATAGACTGTCATGCAAACAAGTGGAGGTAATCCACGAAGAAAGACGGTCTTCAATAGAGTGCCGCCTATGCTGCCGGGTTTAATAACCTTAGGCAACATTTTTTAGGGCATCTTATACTTTTTTTTTTTTTAATTTTTTTTAAATCATAATAATGATTGAGGTCGCCTAAACCAAGGCTACGAAACCATGATAATCATACCACCAGACATTCGGCATGTCGCTTGCTTTCATTTGGCAAGACATCCAATCTTCTCAGCTTCAAAATCACGATGCATGATCATGATGATGTTGGGCTTAGCATAATGATGCTAGTTGTACTCGTACCCATGATAATTTTCTTGATGATAATTTCTTTCGTGTAACAGCCGGCTGTTTAGAGCTGGCAGGCCGGGTGCTTAGTGGCTGGGTTGGGGCCGGCTGCCGCCTGCTAGCTTTGAGGAACGATGCCTAGGAGCCGGTTGTTCAAGCATAGGTGTCATAAAGCTGGCTGTATTGAGGCGGTTGGGAGCCTTGTATTTTGACGCCTGCTTTCATTAGTTTAGCGAGGACACTAGGTGTAGTTAAACAGCCAAAGGCTTGACTAGCTAGGTGCATCTCTGTGCTTAACCACTAATGTCGGCTGTAGCCTAAGGCCGGCTTGGCTTGTGCTGGCGCCTCAATGGTGGACTGGCAACGAGGGCCGCCTATTCTGAAAATTTACAAACGACTTCTCAAATTCAGGCGTCCATACCCATCTTGCATATCCAGCCATGCATAACATTCTCTGTTCTCGCATATGCTGCTTTATTAGAGCTAGCTTGAAGTTCGACATTGAGATATCGTCTTGCACATTCTCAAACAAGGAACTTTTTGGTGTTAAACGGTTTCGGACACCATTAATAACCAAGGTGCGCAGCCGGCAACCGAGAGTTTGAGTTCAACATTTTACTTGCATTTTACTTAAGTTTGAGTTTGAGCTCATGCCTTTTCAACCAAGTGCCGACTGTTTTAGGTGAGTCGGTGTACTTAACACATGCGTCTGGCTGGGGCTGGGCTGAACGCCATCGGCTCTCAGCAATTTAGTTGGTAAGCTAGGCAAGTGATACAATTGGTGATAAGGCCGGTTTATTTTGCCATGATGTGTCGGCTGTCCTCATAGCGTTCTTGCCAATTATATATAAGCCGCTGTTCATTAAAGAGTGTCGGCATCTGGCTGCTCCCACAAGGTGAGTTTACTCGCCCATCGCCATATCTAGATGGTCTTCATACACTAAGTGTGAACGGTACACACTCAATCATACGCTTGTCGCTTGTATTAATCACCATAATGGTTATTGATGGTATGATGCTGCTGCTTGTATGAGAGAAAAGGGGGGTTTGTTAGCTTCTCTTGATGGCTTAACAGCCGGTGGTACAGTGCTTCCCCTACATACATATAGCCGCCTAGCCACCTACTTTGTACATACACACGAACTCATTCGACTCGGCATTTAGAGTCGCTTGTTCTTGGAGTGTCGTTTGATATTCTGCTGTTTGCCCATGATACTTCGAGATTCAAGAATCACTTAGCTTGAGGTTACATGTGGAGCATGCCGGCTTCTTTCATGGTTACGAGGACTTGTTTGTTAGCGTCGTACCGCAATCTTTTTAGGAGTGTTACACAAACGCCATTTCTTCAAATTCATCTAGCTTTCTCAAGGCTATCCTCATTTATCACCGGCTGTTTGATGGCTCGGATTAGGCTGGCTGTTTTGCGGCCGTGTTGTCAAATACCTTATACTTGATGCTATACGTACACTTGATGCTAGTTGTTTAAATTTAACCAACCAAGCTATACGTACACTTGTTGCGTTTGTTGTGAAGGTCGCCTGCTTTAACATGGCTGGCTGCTTCTTGCTTGATAGCTTGAGGAACGATGCCTAGGTGCCGCTTGTTTTTACATGACTAGCCGTTTAATCATTGCTTTGGTTGCAAGGGCCACCTGATTTAATCATTACTTCCGCCTAGTTGGCTGATACTAGGCCGGCTGTTTTTAGCGACTGGATGCATTTAACAAAACCATTGTGAAGGCCGGCTGTTTTAGTGCCTCTAGCTGGGACTGAGTTGGAGATGGCCGTTTGTTTGCATTTCATCGTTAGCATGGCCGGATGCGTTGCACCAACCGACTGATCATGGGGTGTTCTTGTTTCTTTATATGAGCACCTGTTGTTCTCCCACTTGCCGCCTGCTCATACCACACTTGCATCGAAACCATTCGTGTTAGTAGCTGGCATCGTGTTCACCAAATTTGCATGTTTAGGCAAGCTTTCCACTACCAGTGCAAGTATGAAGAGCAGTAGTAGCATGCGCAACAACATATATTGGTCGGCTGGTTAAAAATACCATCTTGATGTCGATTGCTTGTGCTATGTCAAGAAAGGTTTGGCAAAGGTGATGTTGGATGATACTTTGATTAGTTTGAGAACTAAGAGAGGTGCCTTAAGTATCCATTTTCGGCTTCAACGGTGTAATGCTCACAACGTTTTGAGGGTCGATTGTATGCTAGCGTCTATGGCCCTCATTAAAGGGTTCCGGCTATTTTAGAGCTAGTAGGCCGACTGCTTTGTGGCTGAGTTGGAGCCGATTGCCGCCTACTATCTTTGAAGAATGAAGCCTGGGTGTCGGTTTGTTCAAGAAGCATAAGGGCCATTACTCCACCTAGCATTTGTGAATCGTTTCAAAAGCTGAGTGTTTAGTGGGCGACGGTTATGATCATGTAAGTCTTGTTTGGTCTCCATGTTATACGACACATGCCTTGGTTTATATACCCTTGGTATTGTGCCTTGTCACTTGAAGAGCCGCCTCCTTGTTATGATCACATGGGACTTTGCCACCTAGTTGGTCTAAGTGACGTGTGGCTAGCAATGTGCTTCTCACGTAATGATATGAAGTAGTCAGCGCTTGATTCCATGTTTACCTACGTTGTATACATATACAAGGTGGTATTAGGCGGCCTAACTTTGCATACCTTCTTTTATTTTTTTTTTTTGTAAAATCATAATAATGATTTAATAATTATACCAGCCTACAAGCTTGACCATCCGACTCCCAACATCTGTTCGTATGACGCATGCAGTACTTGGCCGCCTGGCCGGATGCTCGGAGGTTGGTCTTCTACCGGCTGTACCCATTGAGTTTCATGCTAGGCGCATGTAACTTTAATCGGGGTTGGTTAGACCTGGCCGACTGCTTATATTGCAGCCTGGTCTATTAATTTAGCATGGGCAAGAACTATGTCGGCTGTACCATGTGAGTGTTAGCACACTTTTGTGAGGGTGAGTGTCGCCTGTCTGACTCTCATGGTTAGATTTTGAATACCTCATGGAGGTATGGTGGAGACTGTCTTGAAAATCAGACGTAGAGCTCAGGCGGTGGGACGGGTACGTCGAGCTCTAAGGGACCCGTCGGGGGTCGTGTGAGTCTCGACATCGATTTCATTGTCGGTGTCCTGGTCCGACTGAACCAGAGGGTCGTCCATGGGACGCTTGTCACTTAGAATCGGTACAGACTGTGATGCCATCTCGAAATTACTCTCCCCACAGATGGCGCCAAAATGTTTCGGGGTTTTCTGATGTCCTGCGGGAGAGTTACAATTCCGAGACTGGATCCGTGCGCCTGTACCTGCAAAACAAACGGAGAATCCTTGTGGTAGGAGCTCCGCCTCCGACGATCAAGTTAGTACTTGTTTGAGGAGTGATAAATGCGGAAAGTAAAGGTAGGAGATCTGGTTCCTCTAGGGGAGGAGTGATCAATGTGTTTTGGTTTTCTCTAGGTGAGAGTCATTAATTGCTGAATCCCCTTTAATGAGGATTAATTAAGTATTTATAGTCTTGAGAAGCGTGCCAATCCTAGGTTTAGGTTAACCAGGGAAAATTGGGCTTCTCTCGGACTTTGGGCCTTGGTGGCCATTTTGCCTATTTGGCATATGGGAGGCCACGTGGCGTGGCCTGATTAGTCCATGTTGGACCTCTTAGGGTGACAAGTGGCGGACGCTGATTGGCCTACGTGGTGGACACGTGGCAGGTCCGGATTGGTCCATTTGTCATGGGTAATTTTTACCCTAAACACTGTTGATCAGCGGTTCTGTCGACCACTTATCACCGGTTTTATGCCCGAATGGTTTTTCAGAAAAATCTACACAGTTTCAAAGTTTTTGGATGTCCAAGAACAATGCAATAGAGTGATGTACTTGACCCCGTTGTCTAAGGTCATTGACTCTGATGATGGTGCCACTGTTACCCACACTCTTGAGGACAGAGTGTGGGTCTTGTTCAAGGAAACTCGGAAAGAATTCCCGACTCAATACACGAGGCTATATCATGTGAAAATTAATAAAGAAAACACTAAAGCTTTCTGCAGCTGCAAGCATTTTGAAACTCATGGCATTATATGTCGTCATATCATTAAGGTATTCTTGTGTATGTGCTTATCATTTTACATTGGTATTCATGCTTCTTATTTTCATTACATATGCCTAATTCATGAAATGTGGTACTTAAAACTAATGTTTTCATTAATATGAGAACATAATTACCGTGACTTAATTAAATTTGCACGTGCCCTGACCTTGATCTTGCATGCCTCATTTTATTGGTTTTTTAGTCATATATATATATCCTTTTTAACTTGTTCTTTCAAACTCAAGGTTTTGGACATGCATAAGATGACTGTTGTCCCTGAAATGTTTGTCTTAAATCGCTGGCGTAAGGATGTTTTCAGAAAGCACACTAGGGTCAAGGTTACTTACCATGATCCTTCAAAGACGGTGGAGTCTAAGAGGTTTGATGAAATGATGGTAGATTTTGAGCCCTTGTGCGTTAAGGCTTCTATAGTGGCTGATTGTGTCCCTATAGTTATCGACACACTTCGGCAGTTGGACATCAACATGGAAGCCACAGTGAATGCAGCAGGATTATCCGGTATCACACTAACTAAGAAAACTCCACCCAAATCAACCAAAAAATCTCCTGCTTCCTCCAAAAAGAAAACTCCAAAGTCTATGAACAAGGGAAAATGGACTGTCACTGAGACTGGGAAGCAGTCCATTATGGATGTTTCTCCGACCTGTTTTGAGATTGGTTCCCCATCTACTGATCTGTTAGTCAATGATCCTGTTTCTCGCAAAAAGCCTCATAGAACTCCAAGTTGCATGCATCGGTCCTGTGTAGAGAAGTCAAAAAAGCGAACTCCTAAGAGGAGCAAATCCGTAAAAAAAACTGCACTACACCCTCAGGTTATTTGTAACAATAAGAAGTGCAGGTTTAACTTTATGCTTTTAATTACACTTACTAATGGTATATTTATGTACAGGTGAACTCTGATGAAGTGCTTCGCTTGTCTGCTGGTGGCATTGAGATGCTGACTGAAAATGGTTCGGTTGGGTACTTCACTAGCACGGTGGAAGAAGACTCTGATGGTTTTGTGTTGTGTGGAGATGATGATGGAGATGTTCTTGGAATGGATGTTGATGATGTAGGTGTAGTCGGTCTGGATGGTGATGGAGGTGATGATCTTCTCACACAACATGATCTGGTTTGGGTATAAATTGCACTATGTCTAATTTTTTGGATGTTGAGGACAAATGAACAATAGGGGATAGTGATTTAGGGCTTATTTTGCTCGTACATGGAGGTTTATTATTTTGGAATATTCTAACAACTGTGCAGTTGACCAACTTAAGAGGGATGTATATCGAATCCCCTCCCCCTAATCGTTTTGAACATTGCTAAGTGGGTTGTATATCTAATCCCCCCCCCCCCCATCCTTTTGAACATTCTAAGGATCTTTTGAACATTGTTAGGAGGGATGTATATCTAACCTCCTACCCCTAATACCCCTAATCCTGTAGAGCATTGAAGTGCTTGTAATGGTTTGAATTAAATATTTGTCCGCCTTTTGAGCAAATACTCTGTTTAATGTGGTTAATATGGTTTTCCACAATATGATTACGTCTTTGCTTTATATGGATTTGGTCTTGTATCTATGTGCTTGTGTGTCCAAACATGCTAGGGTGTTATCATACATGTTCTGGAGAAACAATGTAAATTGATTTGATTAAATTATTAAAATTGATTTCAAAAACTATCATTTATTAAGTGGAACATCACATAGCTTATTAGTTACTTCAAACGAATGAAAATTAAGGAAATTTGAGGGTTATGTGATCAAGTGTTCGTAATTTAATATTTACATATTGTGATCACTCTCTTTTGTCACACTTCATCATTTTCACAATTTTAAATTCATAAACTAAATTTTGTAAATCTAATCTAATTATTTACGATATAATCAAATTACATGAGGACTAGAATTATACATAAAACTTAAGTTAATTGAAACTTTATATTCTCTTATAATAACTACTTAATTATTGCCCGGGCGATGCCCCGGATCCGAATCAATTGAATGTGCAATAAGAATAATTGAAACATATAAATGGGAAATGTAATTAAATTATAAGCACTAACTCGTAAGAATAATAATCGATATTGTATTAGTTGGATATTATACTTGAATGAGAGATGTACTTCATTTATTATAGGTACATACTAAAATCCCAAGCCAATTGCAATACAAAAGATAGGAAAAATCTGTCAAAATATAAAAACCTTTGTCTTACAATTTCTTTTAATAAAAGTTTGGCTTATTAAAAAAAGGATAGGGATGCATAATATATTAGTGTAGTAAATTTTATTTATATGCGTTACAAATAAAATAATAAATGATGAAAATTTACTTTGTTAAATAATGGTTTATTGTTATTCAATCTGGCGATTAATGATGAAATATTACGCTGAAAATTTTAATATTATGCAATGACGAACTACACCTGAAACACTAAGGAGGTTACATTGTAATATGATTGTAATTTACTCCGTAACTCAATAAAGTAACTACACATATCTGACAGATATATCTTAAAGAGTCGTGTCGTGAACGAAACTATCTAATTAAATTGATTACCCCTTTTTTGTTTGAAATGTCTTACTTCAATTGATGTAAAACTTATTTGTCATTACAATCATCATTGAATAATTCATATGTTCATCTGGTACCTCTTGATATGTATATTAGTACCCTAGGCATAGGTATAACTACCTTCAGTGTCACTCTACATAAACGATGAACAACACTATTTTATTCATAGGTGCTACCAAGCCTTTGTGGTATTATTCAAACACCTCTAATATTTCTTAGTTTAGACTTTAAATAGTCTGAAGGAGAGTGTTAAGCTAAGATAATCATTTATAATTACCTTGAATTACCTTGATGAAGAGTGGCACAACATTTTCAGGTTAGTCCTGGGGGGCAAATTTTAGATGTTTAATAAAATTGACAAAAAATTTAAGAAAAAAAATATGCTCACATAAATTGATTGAGTAGCTCATAATCTACTCGTTACATTTTTGGTCCTTCTATTATTATATGCCTTTACTTATTTTTTGTTCAATTCATATTGTAACCCTTATTGTATATAGATGTTAATAAAAATTTACTCTTCCTTATTGTATGATATACATTAAGGCTTAATTAGTGTCAAATTTGTTTGAAGATAGTAACTTTGTTTGCAAATTCTATATTAATAATATATTATCGAGCTTATCAAGTCGAGTTAGAGCTTGCTCAACTCGTGCTTGTTAACATCTCGAGTCGAGTCGAATTCGAGTCAAGCTAACTCGAGTCAAGTTTTGACCGACCGTTGTCCGAGTCGAGTACGAGTTGCTCGCGAGCTGCTCAACTCAATTAGCACCCCTAATCAATCTTTGCTTAATTTCTGCCTACTTAAATAACCAACCTCATTCTTAATAGTCTTTCTATGCATCTAATCTTTTCTGAAATATATTGTTCTCCCTTGTAACTCTTATCATTTCTTGATTATATTCCCAAATCAAAATAAGCAAGCACAAGAAAGACAAACAACAAAAGCGAAGGCAAATAGCAAATAGACAACAAGAGTAAAGTATGAGAACATCTTAGCGTCAAAGGCGGGCCCACGCTAGCTACAAACAACCTTACATAAGAGTCATTTAAGAAAATCTTAGGGGCAAATTGGGGGCACGCTAAGCTAAGAATAACCTTGCATAAGGATCACTTGAGCAATGTCATTCATTCGATAATTTTATATGATTACAACAAGAAAACAAAAAATAAGGTAAGAATTATTCTAAAAATATGCATTAGCTATGTAATGCTATGTTATTGAATATTCTAGCTTTACAAGGTAGGAATCTTATAGCATTATGTAAGGCCTTGATTAATTTGTTGGCATTCTACACTATGCCTATTTCTAAGAACTATTCTTAGGCTCTAATTCTCCCATGTACTGCTCACCTCTTTGCTATTCTATCTCCTTTTTTCTACTCTATTTTCTTTTACTATTCTATTTCTTCTTTGGAATTTTTAGGCTACTAAACAAGGTTGGTGAGTGAAGGTCATTTAAATTAATAACATCAGTTTATACTAAATATGTACCAAATTGTTGTTGCTAAATTGCAAACATCATAAGGTTACTCTATGCACAACAAGGGTCATAGGTATAATCTAACTATTTCATGTAGCTCATTAGTTATACCTTCTCATTCAAGTCAAGTGTATATTGTATATAAATTCCATATTGATTTCCATCATGATTCACATAAGTCATTCAAATTGTTCATTACTAAGAACAATCTATTCCAAACAAGGTAATCCACAATTCCATAAAAGCACGATACAAAATAAGTCAAGAATTTATTAACATCAAAGTACACTCATACTTGAGATTGTCATGAGAAAGCTAAAAAAATCACGCATTCTATGCAATTATCCCCCTTCAAATTATTGTATATCATCTATCTATAAGACAATCATTTTATACTGAAATTAATAACAGTATTTTAGTTCTACGAATTCTAGCCTCTCAACAAAGTTCCCCTAGAACACATGCTCATAGATCGAAATCCCGAAGTGTACCATCCCAAATTGAAAGTGCTTCAGAAAGAGCTTAGAAGGCCAATAAAAGAACATCTTAAAAGAACTTAAACTGCAAGGATAACATCACCCAACAAGTTCATTATCATATACACCATAACTTAATATACTATAAGATCTTAATAATCAAAAGGAGCTAAGAAGGCCAATTTAAAAAATGATTTGTTGCAACCAAACAACATTAAAGTTAACATATACTGAGTAACAATCAATCATACACATATTTAACGCAGTCATATAAAAGGTCTCAGTTAATGCCCCTCAACTCGTGATCGACTTGCTCGATTAGCACCCCTAATCAAGACGATGAAAAAAATGAAATGGGTTCCAACTTACAAATTATCTAAAATATAAATCTTATAAAAAGTATATTTTTACCGGGAGTTAAAATATATTTTCATAAACATGTGCAACCGTTAACAAGTATAAGTATTTTGTGTAAGGGCTTCAGATCACAGTCGAGGCACTGTCCCAATGGTTCCCATTATTCACTATCTACACATTAGCATGAAACTTGCTCATAAGTTCGATCCCCATTGCCCCCCAATTTTTTATTTTCTCAGACCGAACCATTGTGTTCTTTGCCTTTTTTTTTTCCTTTTTTAAATTTCCCTTGATTAACACTTTATAGTTGACGAGTGCTAAAATTTCATTCCCAAGTCCCAACATTATATGATAGTTTTAATTCATTTATTTTTTCTCTTTACATTTTTTTTCAACTTTTTATTTTATTTTTTGTTATTTTATGATAGTTTGTACATTTTAATTTATTTCTCTTCACAATTTTCTTATTTAGTTTGTCAAATTTGATTGAGAGTTTTTTGTAAATTTTTAAAAATTTATCCTAATTTAATGGAAATGTTGTATTTGTAAGTTAGAACAAGAAAGGGATCACTAACATCACTCCTTTGAGTAACTTTTAAAGAGATTGAATTCATTCCATATGAAGTTATTCATTGGATTAAAAGAGATTGGGTACATTGAAAGCTTTTGAGAATAGTAATTTTTAGGGTAATTATGGCTATGATGTTTTAGGTCCCTATGTCATCCCATCATGTCATATAGGGAGATTAAGGTGACAATTTTAATTTTATGTATTTATTCTTTTTTTAATTTATTATGGGTGGAAGATTAAAATGACTTGGTGGTGAGATAAGCTTTTAGGTGAGGTTGTAGCATTTATGGTGTAAGAAATATGCAATTTGCAACACATATGATACACAATTTACTTCATGATGTGTTATGCAATTTGTTAAAAACATTATTTGAATTGGTTAAAAAAAATGTCATTAATTAATCGACCAACATAGTACTACAAATGCTAATACTACGGAATAAAATTGCTAATTAGTAATCCATATGAACAAATTTAGACCTTAAAAATACATATTTTGCAAACTCAGATTTGGTAGGTGTCATTTAAAGGCTTATACCTTTTGGTAGATATCATTTACAGATTTTTTGGTAGCTTTTCCTCAAAAAATAAACAAAATTTTAAAAAAAATTAGTGAAAAAAAAAACTTATAATATGATGTTATAGCTAACTTGCATTGAAATATTTTTGACTATTTTGG